GGGTGTCGACGTGCGCGCGTTTAGTGGCATTAGGATCGAGGCCTTGCTTTCGAAGAAGTCTGACGCCCTGCCGAGATTTTGATACTGTCATTTTACACGTTGGCACAAACCAGCGTTTATTCCAGCGCGTACATTGACAATTGGAACGAAATCCGACGATGTAGGTCGTCTTTTTTTTTTCGTCCTTCCGAGGCGGGAGAACCGGCTATCTTCGTTGGAGTGTCAGCGTAGTCGTGCCGAGATCCAGGCGTTGCATGATCGGCACAGAGATCGTGAACTGGCTCGAGTTCTGCCGCAAGAGGGCTTCGTGTTCATCGGTGAGCGCCATCTGTGCATCGGCTGCTGTTTTATTTGTGATGGAATAAGCTGTTTCTGGAATCTTTTACCCAGTTAACTCGATTGAGTGCTCTCAGTATGTTTGTTATTACTGAGACTAATGCATGTTTTCCCTTCTCTCACAATCTTCATGAGATTGCGAGCATACGTGCAAGTCGAACGTACGGAGCGGTGGGCTTGCACTGGTCCCCTTCGACGCACATAAGCTCACACTAAAACGCCTCGAACCGAGCTAACCACACAACCGACGAAGCCTCACCGCCTCGCCTCGGCAGCGCTGCACACGTGGGCGAAGGCCCTGGGCCGCAACAAGCCCGCACGCACGGATGGCACGCACGCCGGCGACACGTGTGTGTGACTCCTGGATATCTATTGATACTATTTTTATGACGCATGGTATTTGCTATCAGTGTTAGAAAACAGTAAACAATTGATAAATTGTCTAGAATTTTGTAAGGTCACGTGACATTAACTTTAAAACAATAAAATATAACCTCTTTATTTTTATATCCTATATTTACTTATAAGAAAACATATGTATATAAAAGAAATTGCGTCCTTACAAGTCACGTGACCTTTTGCGTAGATGGAGCCAAATCTCCCGAATTGGCTACGTCCTCGGGTGGATGTAGCCTCTTCCAATGTGTTTTGAATATGTAAACTTTAAAATTGTTAGCGTTTCATAACTTTAATATTCAGCAAAGCATTTGTTTTTCTTATCTATGTCCAACTTGAAGGAAGTGCAAACAATCGACTAACCCCCGAAGAGCAAGCAAACTACGCCTCAAAATCTGCCTGGGACCATCTTGTCAGGGCAACTCCGGCGCCGAAGTTGACTCACTTGGGTCGTCGGGCAGCTTCCCCCGGGGAGGCGGGGCAGGGGGTAACACGAGATGGGGACGGGGTGGGATTACGCGGGATCCCGTCTCACCGTCTGAAGTTACAACCCTAGGCTCCGCTGAGCAAGCATCCTGCTTTATGGCTGCCTTCACGCCCCGTTTCTTCAGAACCCCGATGGACTCGAGCTGTCGTCTGCTACAGCATTCCCAATGCTTTCTTCGTATCTTTTTTTCGAAAAAAAAAAAAGATAATAAACGTTAATCTCTAAATTACGTAGGAAAGCTCTAATAGAAGAGAGCTTCCAATAAGCTCTTTCTATTCCTTTTGATATTTCGGATGGTGCAGATTGGAACCCAACCGGAGCTCCGATCGAAACATGCACTAACAACATACACTCCAAGTTTATAAACACATTTTTATTGACGATCGCCCCTCTCACATCTCCAAGCGCTAAAGGCATCAGCTGCTAAAGAATAAGTTAGTGTAAATCGGACTATAAAACCGGTATGGTTGAAGATGTGGCGTTCTATAAATGAACATGCTGAAGACGGCAGACAAAGTGCAACGAAAAAAAACAACCGATTATCGCTTTCGCGAGACTGGCAACAGGGCACTGCAAATGCATTTTTCATGCAGTAGAAGCTCCACCTCCAGCGCGAGCTTTCTTCTTTCGGTAACACTTTGGGGTCTCGTGAGCGCGCACAGACAAAGCACGACGGAAGGCAACGAGCGCATGCTGGAAGCAAAACTTCTACGTATTCTTAAAAAAAAAAAAAAAAAGAAAACAGAAGTGGCAGGAAGTTTGTTTCGTGGATTGAATTTTTTTTTTTTTTTTTTCAGAGCAGTATTAAGCTGAGACTAGAAGCTCCGCCTTCAGCTCGAGCTTTCCGCCTTTGCTAAGAAATGTGGGAACACGCAGGCACGCGCAACAAAGCACCGCGGAAGCCAGCGAGCTCGCGCTAAAAGCGGATCTTGTTGTCCCACTGTGCCTGGTAAAAAAAAAAGTACAATCTTACGTTTTGAGGGTGTCTGCGAAACAATCGAGGAGCTAAACATTTTCACACGGCTTCGAAAAGCAAAACGGGCGCTCGTCCTAACAATGATTGCAACTTAAAAAATCCACTAAAGTAGAATGCTGGGCTGGTAAATAGCAGCCAGCACAGACAAAAAAAAAAAAATAAATAAGAGGAGAATCTAGGACAAGCACTGCATAGCTAGCACTTTCACTTTTTCTTTGAGTGCACTGTTAAAATACGGTATTCACACATCAAGAACACAAGATCATTTTTTTTTGTTATTTTTTTCTCGCTCCCCAATTTTCAAAAGCTCACAATATCTTGAACTGACAAATATCTGGACATTGACTACTAGTTTCATGTCCGTGCAAAAAACAGAAACATGGCAGTGCATCCTACACTGTCAATGTAGCAGAAAACAAAATTTTTTAATGTCGCAAGAAATATTCTTCGATGTGAAAATATTGTAGTTTGCACACAATCCTGTACTTCCTTCCTCTATGACAATTGCTGGATCGCGCTTCCCCGCTTGTTCGCTGCAGCGCAAGTGAAGCCACCGGACTTCACTCGCTTGGGATACGATTTGCCGTTTTTGCTAGCCTTTGCTGCGGTTTTCCAGCGTGCTGTGGACACGTTTTCTACTCGTTCGTCGTCATTCGCCGAAGAAGTTTTTTGAAGACTCTGTGTATTGTTGAGACTTGCCGTTGTGAACACGTGGAAAATTTTACGAAAGTGCAGTGTCGCAGGAAAAAGGCACAACGCGTCGAAAGGAAGGGCTGGCGGCGTGTTCAAAGCTTCCTTGGCACGCCGAAGTGCCGTGTCTCTGTGCCTTCGCACGCTTGGATACCGACCAAGAACCGACGCCGTGTGTATGTGTTTAGCGAGTGCAATGTGCGTGAAGCTGTTCGTGCCTCTGGATCAGCGTCTTTTCCCCTCGCGGTTTAGGAACGAGCTTAATCCAGCGTCCACTAGCGACGGAAGATGGGGGGAAGGTACGTCTTTTTTTCGTCCTTAGACGATTTACACAATACCGTGCACAACAGCTCCTCATCACTGATCAGTGCTGGCTTATGATCAACCTACTTAATTGCACTTGACGTTTGAGCGCGGCTCGCCTAATTGTAATTGGTCAACAGATTGCACACCACCATATCGGCCACGCTTCAAAGATTTTCATTCTCGCCGTCTTGTACTTTTGCTTTCGAAAACCCCCTGGCTCCACAACGTTGCCCTATTCGTGCTCCCACGGAATCTATTAGAGTAGATTTGGGACATAGCCGTGGTTAATATAGTACATAAGAACACGTACAGATCTCCCCCTTTTATTGATAGCAACTCACCGGAACAGCTGGACGATCCAGAACTCCGTGGCCGATATATATAAATGATCTAAAGGCATCTACGCGCGACACACGTTCAGAACTTTGGCGCGGCGTCAATTCTTGACCGGTATCCAAGCGTGCGAAGGCACAAAGATGCATCACTCGGCGTGCCAAGGAAGCTTTGATCACGCCGCGACACCGGCGACACGTTTTCGACGAGTTGTACCTTTTGATACGGCTTCACGCACATTGCACTCGCTGAACACATTCACACGGCGACGGTTCTTGGTCGGTATCCAAGCGCGCGAAGGCACAGAGACATGGCACTTCGGCGTGCCAAGGACGCTTTGAACACGCCGCCAGCCCTTCCTTTCGACGCGTTGTGCCTTTTTCCTGCGACACTGCACTTTCGTAAAATTTTCCACGTGTTCACAACGGCAAGTCTCAACAATACACAGAGTCTCAAAAAACTTCTTCGGCGAATGACGACGAACGAGTAGAAAACGTGTCCACAGCACGCTGGAAAACCGCAGCAAAGGCTAGCAAAAACGGCAAATCGTATCCCAAGCGAGTGAAGTCCGGTGGCTTCACTTGCGGGAGCGGCAAGCGCGATCCAGCAATTGTCATTGAGATCAGTGTTCTATACCCTTCCAATGCAAAAGTGACTAGAGATACGACTTCCGTCTTACTTTTAAAGGGACCCTGCAATCATTTTCGGGCTACTTTCTAATCTGTGCTAAGCTTATTTTTAGGAACATAAGATAATATGCAAGAAAAAAAAAACAATCTCAATACTTCACACTGAGGAGTTATGGATGGAATCAGTCTGCACAGAGCCGTATATGTAGAGAGTTTGGCCATTCGTTGGGAAGTATAGGAGACAAATGAGGAGGCGCCATTGGCCGAAAGCGGGCTGGGCGTGTTCCAGGGCGTCTTCAGAAATTCGAATCTGACCAACCAGAAGCCGGAAATAATACCCTGGCGGTGGTCGCGAGAAACAAACCTGATAACTGCATTGGAGTAACTCTCGATGGCTGAAAATATGGTACACGTGATGTTTCAATCACGCTCATCCAAAATGATGGTGGATGAGTGCGACTAGCGGAACGATCGACATAATCCGTACGCCAAACGCCGAGGGCCGGGAATCTGCCGTCCGAGTGGTCACACTCTGTCCGCGCAAAACAGAGTTGAGCGGTGCATTCGTTTCTTACATCTTTCTGCATGGTCATGATCAAAATAGCACGTGCACCCTATTTTCAACCAAAAAGAGTTACTACACTTCACTCTTACACACTTATTAAAACCATATACGAACATAGACTTTCGATCAGAACTGTTTCTCGCTACCACCACTAGGGGATCCTTTTCGGCTTCTGGTTGGTCAAGAGAGCATGCCAAGCCCTCTTTCCGAGTCTGCTGCACGCCCTGGCTCTGCCCGCGCCTCCCATTGACCAAACTCTCTACATATACGGCTCTGAGTCTGCAAATATAAAAAAAGATAAGGTAAGCAATGTGATGTTATGCTTTTTCATGGGGCTTGATTGTTTGGTTGATAAGCAGCATGCATTATAAGAGACATACCGTTGCAAATGACAAAATATTGAAACTGATTGCAAGACCCTCTTCTCAGAATCACAGGGACTTCACAACACGGAAAGAAAACTTGGTAATGCATGTATTAACTCGATTCTCACTCAACATAACAATATATCAATAGCATAACAGCTTGGTATTGGCACACCCCTCATGCACACTGTCTCGGTATAACATATGTAAAACATACAAAACTAGTTCCCGGTAAAATAACTTGGCAGAAACAAATAACAAATGTAACAGCAAGAGTAAAATGACACCTCAAAAACCAAGCCTTTAAAACAGTGCAATGCTGAAAACTGAGTCAAAGGTCTGAACTATACAACTATCTACAAAAAATTGCTCGATTTTCTGGTGCTTCATCACATTATAAATCTTATAAATAGAACAATAGCAGCAAAATAGATAATTTGCTGTACCATACTAAATTACAGCATTTACTTATATCACTGGCTTCCCACACTCCCATATAAAATGTTTGGCAATGCAAAAAGCATGCTCTTGTCTGTCTTTTTCGAAATATTCCACTTTTCATCAATATTGGAAAACATTTATGCTATCATGCATAGCAAAATAAGCTGTAATGTGCACAAACATGCCTCCGAGAACTCTTAACGTTCACCCATGGTTGTACTTGACAACTGCAGACATATCTTAATAGTACTTCATGAAAAAGAAAAACAATTAACACATTACACATTTATAAAAATGCAGCCCAATATTTCAAGTTACTTTTAGCATGCTTATAGTTTACTAGCAGATCCGTAAACTAAAGGAAATTACCACAGTGTTATCTCACTGAAAGGATATTCCAGAAACTTGGAAGCTTTCCCACTGTTGCATGAAAACATTGAGCACTTTTTTTTTCGTTTTCATTGACCGAGATTCTATACATTCTATAGAAACATACACCCAGCCCAAAAAACGAGAAGCAAGTTTTTCATACCATTTTATCATCCTTTTACCGGCCCTTTTCATTTACCAGTATTAGTGCTTTCAACCAGATGATTTGCTTATTTGACAAAACCTTGCTTTGCAATCCAGTCTTTGTTCGTCCACAGCTATGGTCTCCGGTGTAAAAAAAGTGAACTGACCCTTGTAGTGTGAATTTCTGTTTCCAGAAATTTTTGCATACTCTACAAGTGTTCACACTTGCACTTTAAATAGTGGACATCTCACATAAAATTAGAACAAAAGAATGGCAACATCACAGTTTTTCAGCTCGGGTGTGGAGGCATTCTGACACAATGTGCTGTGCTGTGCTAATTTGATCCTTGAAGCAGTTTCATTTTCTTCTTCTACACGAACGCCAGGCCGGAATCAAACGCCACCAATCTCGGAGTCTTCGTCTTCCTCATCCGTTTCCTGGATGGGTGCCCGAATCGCCTGGTACCACTGGTTCGTAAGGTCTGTCATCTGTATCTTGCCATCTTGCACTTCCTGCAAGCCATTTCACCCATCAACCAAAAGAATGCGCTCAGTGAACATTTCTAACTATACTAAAAATATCCACCATCAGCATCTCAGAATATATTTTTCCCTTGGTGTTTCGTCGGAATCTATGTGTCGCCCAGAAATAAAATCGGTACCATAATTAGTCACTGCACAGGGGACTACACATTGAGGTGCATAGCTTTCAGGATAATTACGGTATAGTTAGTCATGTATAAGAACATTCTTAATTTGTAAAAATAAATGTATAAAACAAAAATTCAAAGCATGCTGGCTATCATCAGAAACCACCATATCAATCAATTTTAAGAAAGATTTCAGGCGCACGCTTTGCTTTCCTTGGTTCCCAAAATGCAATTAACTTTGACGCGCCTGCACTGTTTTTCCACTGCTTGTCATCCATATTTTCACTCCGCCAGCCTGCACCTGCAGCACAAGTGGTGGTTTTTTCGATTATGCTCAGCTAGTTTCCAAATGAACTCGTATGCTTACTTTTAAAAGTAAAATTATCTAAAGCACTATGTAGCTCAACAAATTGGGCCCTTGGCAGTGAGTGCTATGGAACTAATCGTTTTTAATGCGAAAGCATTAACTGTCCCAAGCGAACCGGCGTTATCAACTTTTGAAGCCGTGCCAGACGGCACCTAAACTCCCCTGACCCAAAGGAGTGAAGCCTGTCATCTGTAGCAGCGATTTGATAGATAGGCTCCCATTGGCTGCCGCACGGCGTAGTTCCAAAGAACGCCACACACCGAGAATCCCTCTCCATGGCGGCGCATCCTGACTGCCGGTAAGAGGGAGCGGCTGGCCGCAGAGCCAGCCCAGGCAAACTCCGGAGAGGCAGCACGGCTGAGCTCAGCGCAACGCAGCCACTTCATGAGAACATGCGCTCGGCCGTTGGCTGCAACCTCGGCAGTAGCGAAACGTAATCGTCCACGCCAGTACGCCGCAGACGAACCAAGAGAGTGGAAGAACGACATTCATGCTTTCGCATTCGCAACTCATAAGAAGTGCTTAAGTGTCCTTGAAATTTTTTTTGTCCGGATGATGCCCAGATTCACCTCGTGTTCGGCGAAATACTCGACTCTCATAGCATATTTTTTACGACAGCCTTAGTCCATATTAAATAATTTGGCACTAAGTAGTACCTCACTGATACATTTTCTTTCCGTGACATTCACAAACGCTGGTCCTGTTCAACTCCCGTAAGAAAATGTATATTAATTTCTCAATTGTAGCTTTCGCCTTCACAGTTACTTCCAAAAACTGTCATCCAATGTGGCTGATGTGACATGTGGGATTGCCCGGCCGTTGTCACACTCTCTCTTTTGCTCCGCCCCCTTCTTTTTCACGACTTTGCTTCTGTCTGATGTGCTTTTTGCCTGGACGGGCATGACTTTGAAGTAGACTTGAAAAGAATTTGGGCTTTCACAATAGTCCATTCATCTTTCTACCTCGTTCTCCGTCTCGTATGCGCTTCTGTTGTGCCCGGTTCTCCTGGTTCGTTTAGTTTCATTTTGAGGCCAATTTGGAGTTCATGCCCATTTATGATCATACCAACCTTATTTCAGAGCTTGCCTAGTCACCCTAGCTAAAACCTACTCTTCGAAGGCACTTGCCCTGTTGTAATCTGAAATTCCAGACATTAATAGCCTCTTTCCCTGGCAAATAGTGCGCGCGTGTGCTGAGCGGGTTCCTGTGCCCCTTGCGAGATGCGAGCAATCCCTCTGCGTGCCGCTTGTAGATCTGGAGCTGGTGGAGCGCTTGTTGAGAAGCTCCATCCGATCCGTGACAAAGTAGTGGAGAGTGTCGGGCAACGTGGGAAAGTTCTCTGCACTGCCTTTTTCGGAGGAGTTTCATTTGCAGTCACTAGCAACATTTCAGTTTCAATATTTGTGTTGGCGATGTTGTAGCAGTCACGAAGGCGATGGCGGAAGTAGCACTTGACGATGGGAAGTTACGAGAATATCACTGGGATGCTGTGCCGTTACGAGCCTCGCTACAAGCTGTTTGAAGGTTGGTGAAGCGATCGATGCGATGCCGAGGCATCGATGGTCTTACCAAAGAGCAGTAGTTGCAATCAAGATGTGGAAAAAGTCAATTTTACTGGGGGGTACGCTTATTATTTTGTGGGAAGGGTACGTCCATCGGCTGCCTCATAAATAAAATTCAGTGTTTTCAGTTTTTCTTTTTTTTTTTGTCAAGTTTGGCAGGTGTTTTTCCAAGTTCGTTTTTTGCCAAAAATGCAGAGTTTATCAGAGTTCATTTCTGTCAGATTCCCGATTCTCCGAAATTCGAGGTTTAGTCTTAGTGTTTCCCATTTTTCAAAATATAAAAATAAATAATATCCGGGTGTAAACATGTGCTAGATTAAAAAGAATGCACTTGTATTAAATAATATTTCTTCAGCTGGATTTGGCATTGGCGCCCCTGCCATTGGCAATACTAATCTGCCCCACGACAAAACTTGCAAACAAGCGTTGCTTCGATAAACGATGATACCTTAAAATCACCAATCTCCTGAAGGTAGCTGCTGAGAAGCTGCACGGGGTGGAATTGTAAATTAATATTAAAATAATATTAATATGAACCCAGAAAACATTTTCTGCTGTAATGAATGGCAGAGCAAATTTCTGGAAATCGTTTATATTAACTCACAGCGCAAGGATCTATTTACTAAGCTTTGAAACTTTTGCATACCGTGCATGTATATTGCAGTTAACTCGGCTAACATTGCCATGTTCACTTCTGTTCCAGAACTCTTTGAAACCTTAGCAAACACATCTTGCTGCACCGTTCCGTTCCCCCCCCCCCCCCCCCCCCCCCCCCCCCCTTCTTCCCCCCAGTTAGAGGTACCTTTTGGGTGAAGCGCCTTGTGAAGAAAGGAATCAAGTATTTGATGTCAAGCAGAATGAATCCCTTGATGTTGCTCTTCATAAAGTTCACCTCATACTCCTCTTCAGTGAGCTCAGAGAGATGCTCAGCATCAATTGTTTGGCCCTACAACATAAAAAAAAAAACAAAAAAAAACCTTATTTGCATGAACATCATAATCATGAACATCATCATCATGAACATCATCAAAAAAAGATCCTTATTTGCATCATAATAACTACATCAGGGCAAAACCGTTTTTATATTTGGCACAGTTCAGTCTCCTAAGTAATTTACAAATGCAAATTTGCAATATTTCACAACGGTGAAATGTCAGCCATCATTCAAAATTATTGTTTGCTCAAAAACGCTGGACTTCTAAATGCAACATTTGTTGTATACCACTGGTAACACAAGCATGGACAGAATTAGCTTTCCAACTTTGACTGTCAAATAAATTCCAACATGCGACAGAAAAAAAAAAAAAAGAAGCAATCTTGCTTATCTGTGAAATCATAGTCGTTAGTAACTTCTGTTTAGCATATATCTTCATGCCAGCGTACCAAAGGAAATGGAAAACAATTAATAGTTATTAAACGGATTAATGTTAAGCAACAAGCTGAGTGCTATAATTTTTTATGGGTGAGAAGAAAGGGAATCAAAACAAAGACTAATAAAATTACTAGACAGAGCTCAATAGGACACAGCAAAACATGTCATACTAGCAACCAGATGAGTGTTGTCCCCACCCAATTATAATCGTATAATTTTCAGAATGAGCTTTTTCCGTAAAACATTGAAAACAGGGGTCTACATGCTCATTCGATGAAGATGTGAAAGTACTAGAAGACCTAAAATTCCGTATCAGTTCGATGTGCATATATGCCGAGGTCCTGGAATTCTAACTTATACCCAGGTCGGTCACACATAAAACAGACAATAAAAATAGGAAGTGCCTCAGAATTTCTATAGTTTGCATATTAAACCAACAAATGGGTCACCATCGCCAGTGATTAGAAACCAGACAGACTGATATAGCAAAACATAATTACTGCATGTACAGATGTTCCCTGGCTAAAGCACACACACCCTCCACTGGAAAACACAGTTTGTATATTGAAAAATACAGAAAAACAAAACAAATTTAACAAAATAAGGGATGTATACAAAGACGTGCTATTGTACTTCAACAAAAATATTGCCATTGTGCTGCTTACCATTTCCTTTGTTTTGCTGAGCGTGACCTTACGTGTCCGTCTCCTTTTCCGGCGTGTTGTCTGCTTGTCTGCTTTCAAAAACTAGAGTAGAGAAATAATGGCAAAAAATATACCCATACACTACAATCCATGACAGCCAACTTGTAAGCCATTACAAAAGGCATGGGCGACTGGAACGCTGGTCCCAGGCCCTACTTTGGCAGCAGGGCTGGCAACTTGGGAAGTCAAATTTGGTGTTCCTAAATCCTCTGTACGCATGTCATGGGAAAAATGCCGATGTGTTCACGCTCACTCTTTTGCCCAATGAGCAGCTTTGCTGTTGTTTTTTTTTCCCCCTTTGTCTAGGGCCCCACATTGTTTATTGCTGGCTCTGCAAAAAGCTACGAATTTTTGGTCATCTAAGCTGATCAGAGTGCTGAATCTAACTGTCATGCTTTACAAGCTAAAAAGCCACAAAATGTTCCAAATCTTTGTTGAAGGTGTATGAAAATTTAAATCGGCGAAGCCTTGAGCCCCAACGAAGTTAAGACCTTTCAAAATGGACACCATTGGCAGGGCCATTGATGTGACGGTAGGGTACGGGTGCTACAGGAGTGTACAGGTAGCCACGGAAAGCAGGCACTGATATGAACCTTCATGAGTGGCATTGTCGATCCTCCAATGACAAGTATGGTGAAAAGGACAATGATGAGCGTTGTTGTCACCACAACGTGGCGCTTCTCATCGTCGAAGTCCAGATGCATTGCCAGAGCATAGGCGATTGCACCTCGAAGACCTGGAAAAATCGTCCATATAATTCCCATTACTGTAAACAACTTTAGTATTGTGGGCTCAATATTTTGCAAATTTTGTGTAGGTTGGGTTTCAAGAACATTTCACAGGTACAAAATTTCGCAACTTGGAATGATATGCTTATTCATCGCCGTGCAGAGATAATTCGCGGGACCAATCTTTCGCAATACTCTCCAAGTCGGGAAATTCACAAAAATGAGGTAGTTGCGAAAATAAGGCCATTAAAAGTTTAGTTAAAAAAAAATAAAAAAAGCATGATTACACATCAAGTCTTCAAAAACAAGGCGAGTGTTGTTTTCCAGGAGCATAAATTGCACCGCTTTTAATTATAGGTATAGTACAGAGATGGCAAAATTATTTTAAAAAGTAATTTAATAACATTACTAATTACTTTCTTAAAAATAGTAAAAATGTCATTAAAAAGTAAATGAATTCCATTACTAATTACTTTTCTAAAACTGCAAAATCTGATTGAATTACATTACAAATTACCACAGACTAAAGGTAATGACATTACATTACAATTACTTTCCAAAAGTAATGAAATTATTTTTTAATACCTTGAGGCAGTAATTTGTGCTAATTTTATTTACAGTATACCGTAAAATGCCGGGCAAGCGCCCACTCAAAATTTAGAGATAATCGCGAAAAAATGGGGCATGGGATCATCAATTTTACATATCAATGTACGGTGCATATATTCTCACATCTTACAAATTCGGGTATGGGTGCTTAGTGTGGTATGGGTGGATGCACGGTATTCAACGGTATGTCCCAAAACTCAGACCTTCCTGTTTAAACCACAACAGCCTTATGCACCTCAAAGTGAATCGCACTGAACAGTCGTTTTGATGGCGCAAACGACATAAGTGTTAAACATGATGAATAGCTTCTTTAGGTGTGGCTCAAAGACAGTCAACTCACAAGTTTTGCTGCTCATTCAACGGTGGAGGTCCTTAGTTAAAGGGTGATATTGTTCCATCTTTCAGAAGCTATAGTCCGGGTCAGTATGCTAAGTCGGGTCATGGGAGCTTCTTAGAAGGAGTTGTCACGTGAAACGTTTCCCCTCCGCCTCGGACGCAATCTAATCCTATTCTCCCAAGAGCACTAGTTGACGTACTCCCAGACATTGCTCTCAAGGAGTATTGTTCCCAAACACCCCAAGAGCCCAAGTTATTGCACGTTGTCACAAAAGGGGCTGGATATTTGCTAGACAGAAGCATCGCCAGCTGAGGAAAAGGATGGCGTGAGCTTCCTAAAATGTGTATTTTCGCAACAAATGGGTGGTGATATCTGTTCGCAGGCTTCTTCCCGAATAAACTTCCCAAGAAAAGGCAGTGAGGCGAGTTGCATCGGCTTTGCTCGATTCCTGTCTTTTTTGCAACTACAAAATCACCTTTACTTTACAAGTCCAAGGGTATGCACAAAACGTCCTGGGGCCTTGACAAGGTACAGTATAGACCACTTACAACGTAACCGCTTATAGTGCAAAACCGGGTATAACGCGGCTTTTTTAAACCACCGGTTTGCCTCCCATAGAACTCCATGTAATTACATACCGCTTAAAATGCAGGCGCGCTAAGGGAAATACCGCTTATAGTGCGGTTTCTGGAGCAGCACGCCGACCGGCGCAGCGAGCACGCTTCCCTGTGTGACACCAGATAACGGCGCTAGCCGCAAGCGGCAAACGCGCGGGGGCAAGGATGGCAAGGAGGTTTCGAAGAAGCGAAGAGAGAGGCTTCAGTTGTCATAGCGACGGAGGGATGCACGCACGTGTTGTTCACGGCACAAGGCGTTGCCAAGCCCAACCCACGACCTCCTCTATATCGTGGCCCAACCAGCCGTTCGCGCGCGTTGCATGTCGGTCACGGGTCGGTTTCTTCTATCCGCAAACATGGCGTCGGTGGTGATCGTAGACGTAGACGGCGTAGTGGAAGTTTATCGTTCCGCGTAAAAGCACTATCCATGACTGTGAATTTTCGTTGTGTGTCGCTATGATAACCCAGCACGTACGAAAAGAGAAGATCCACCTACTCGTGCGGCGATGTCGTGGCGGCACTCTCAAGACAGCAGAAACGCCCGTGTCGTTGTGCTTGTTTACTTCGACTACAGTGGTGCTTTCTAAACGTTTGTGTTTTCGAACATCACCTGGTTTTCTTATTTGGAGCATTTCATGCGCGCATTTCATGCCTTTTTTGGAGCATTTCATGTGCGTACCGTATAAAGGATGTGAATTTTCACGCGTTTTCATCACCGGAGAAAAGTGATTAGGGTTAGCAATCCTGAACGCTCGCAACGTCCGTCTGCAACCCGCGACGCCGCTAAAAGGCTGCGCCCGGCGAAAGTCACTCATTTCTTTCAAAATGTGTGACACACTTGAGAGAGAAGTGTACTAGTCTGGTGAAATAAAGACTTTCCTCGAACTAAGCTTTATATTTCATCTAATATAAAATAAATTGTTTTACAAAGGTAAGTTACCTCATGGCATGTATTTTGGCCTGAAAATTGATGTTTTGGTGATAGCGCGGTACCGCTTATAGCGCAGATTTTCGCGACTCCCGCGACATACGTTATATGCGGTCTACACTGTATTTGGGATTAACTATTTATACCGGTCGCTTGTTGTTCACAATGGTTGAAGCTTATGGTTTAACCCTGCTTGACCTAATGCACTTAAAAGTGAATCGCACTGAACAGTCGTTTATGCAGAAGGCTGGAGACAGGCACGTAGCCAGGATTTTGTTTTGAGGGGGAGGGGGGAGAGGAGGTCCCAGCAAAATGGAAGATTTCGGGGGGGGGGGGGCAGGCCCCATGGGACTCCCCCCCCCTGGCTACGTGCCTGGCTAAAGATCTGTTTGTCCTGTCCCCTCAGGTTTGAAAATGTGTTCACCTCACAGGGGATGTGTTCGTCGCCTTGTAGCCCATAAGCCGTTCATCCCTAAGCTGACAGTGCAGTGGACGCTACGTGCTCTTTGGAACAGTCACCACGTCTATCTTTCGCCACATAACCACACTCTCGTTCATACACCCGCGCAGAGAAAGCGACAGGTCAGGTGATCAAATAAAGGTGTTTGATTGGTCTGGTGAGCTCATTGCTCCCATCGCATTGCCAGCTTAGGATGACCTAAGTATAGTATCATTGTGATGACATGACGCCGTGATTCTGTCTTGCTTGGGGTTTGTGAGCTGTAACCTTCCAGCGATGTCTTTACACGTAAGCTTTACTTCTTCGCCTTTCCTGCCCGTCTTTGTGCATCTGTTAAGTTTTTCGTACAAGGCTTTGGGCTCATATGGCCGTCATTTATTTGCACCAATGTCTCTTTCACCATTTGACCATCCAAAATATTTTTTTTAAAGCTTGCAAACTAACTTTTTCAATTGACACAAAAGTAATTTCAAAAGTAATGAGTAACTTTCTTGAAATTACTGCCTGAAAGTAATTCATTACATTACTAAATTACCAGCCCAGAAACACAATTCATTACGTTACTCATCACCACAAAAAGTAATGTAATTATTGTAATTCCATTACAGTAATGTCATTACTGCCATCTCTGGTATAGTATAAAAAATTAAAATTCTTACCACTGTACCACATGATAAACATCATCTTCTTGGTGATTTTGTGCTCCCTAAAGTAGTTCAACAGAAAGGAGAGTGGATAAATGTTGGCAGCCCGGCCAAGTAAGCACAAAACCTGTAACAAAGCGATGGCAAGATAAGGAGGATAATGTTGAGTTCATTCTCTGTCATTTCAACTTCAAAATCTTTCCTAAGATATGGAACATTTAAAGTGACGACTTACAAAGTTATGTAGGCAGAAATTATGAATCTTTGTTCAATTTTTTTTCTCATTTTACAAAATGAGTGATCCAAATGAAATTACCAGGTTTACCATGATAATATGCAGAGATCGTTGAATGGCTTGTAGTTTTCTTACATATTTTTAAAAGCTTAAAAACTAATCTTTTAAGTCGATTACTGTTCTTATGACTCACAATGCTCCAGATAATAAGGGACGGCTTGATGATCAGACGGTAACTGAAGATAGCCAGCCCAAGGTATGCAAACACCGACGTTTCTGAAATATAATGCAACGTGAGAAACCTTACACAAACTGCAATACGTCAGGCTATGAACACCAGCTCAAGAACATTGTCTTGGCAGGCTTATAAATCAGATAGTGCTACAGCGTGCGTAAAACAATTCTGACATTATATGAAACTGAAGAGCCCGTACAACGGGTTAAGAGAGAACAGAGCTTGTGGAATGACATCGCTCACCAGCTATCAGGGAGAGGGTACGTAGAGTTTGCTGCATCGTGATCTGGGTGACCGATGAAAGGTTGAAGTGAGTGTAGTGCGACATGACGACTCCATTGAAGAGGATTGCCATGATTCCTGAGCCAGAAAGCCAAATAAAAATAAAAATAAGCGGTATTGTTGTATTGTTCTACGAGTACCATCATTACCAAAAGTCTTGTACATGACTTGCGATGTTCGACGAGTAGTCATATGTACAATGATACTTCAACTATAAACAGGGCTTGGCATTTTGGTTTTTTACAAACAAAAATGCCTGCCATATATCTTTTTTTCTAGAATTTAATTTATACCCAGCACTAAAGCTCGAGATGACCACTGTATCCCATCAGATAGAAACTAATGATTTGTCAGCATTCATTTTTTTTTAGCCTAGAAGAACTAGAAATATATGCTTCAAGAAAAATAAATTGCACACTATGAAATAGGTCGAAACTCCAAGAGATCACAGTAGAAGCCAAAGCTGGCAGGGGTCACACAATACATTGAATCAGTGGTTTTCCAATTTTTTCCAGAGATAACTACCCCCCACAATCTTCTAACATATTGCATAATATTTGAAAAATATTATACAAAATTTTAAGAAAATATACCTGCATGGTTCAACACTGTCACAGTATTAGCATAAGAAATCACAATTTAGTCAGCACATAAACTTTTTTTCAATAATTGTAAAGGGCACGAAAATTAGCACAGATCTATTTTTTGATAAGCAGCTTTAATCATGAGCACCTCCCTGCAATGACAAGAACCTTCTCGAACGTTCCTGGGACATACATATATACACTTGTCATAGGAATTACCGTATTTACTCGAGTAACAGCCGCACTATTTATGAACAAGGCCCTTGCGTCTACTTTCCCGCAAAGCACATATACAGCCAATCATCATGTTGCGCATAAATAACATAGCAAATAACTACATCTAGAATACAAGTCTCCATACAAATGCAATCTTCACAGATGGTATCTTTGCGCAGACGTTATCTCTGTCCTGTAAACCGCTGGAATCATGCTGTCGATCGCGGTGATTGGCAATCCGCGTGTTTCACGGAAAAGCAAACCCTCAGGTTTTTTTCATAAACAGTGCGGCTATTACTCAAGTAAATACGGTAGGTGGAGAGAGACAGAAAAAATGTCAAAAACTGATCACTCATGCTAAACTTACCACACACCATACAGATTAAGACTGATACACATAATCTAAAATAAGGCCTTGTGCACTCTAACCATTGTGTCATTTGTTGGACAAATAAAGATATTTCACAAAAAACTATAATTTCCTGTGTATTCATATCACGTTATTCTTATTCTTTTTTCGTGACACATCATCCTTATTTGCCACAAACTGTTAAAAAAGCCCAAGCTGGCAGGCATGTAGACTGCATTGTAGCCACAAGTGCAACAAAATTACAAGCAAAGCAGAGTCAAGTGACATACCAGAAAGATGTATGCCCTCTGCAAGTCCGTATGGGGCATATACAAACACAAGCATCATCCCAAATTCAAGTGATGGGTTCTTGCGCAGGTCCACATATTTCAGCAGGTGCACGTCAAAGCCCTTAGTCAAGGAAGCAAACAAACCTTATACAAGCTCATTTCCAGGGATACTAAAAAAAAGGTTTTCTTAGTTCACTTCTATACTGCCAAAGCACGTTCACACACTTGCAACTGAGTATGACCGACTGAGACAAGATCGGTTTTTAAGCCTTTTGCGACGGTAAGTCATCACAAGAGGCTTAAAAACCGGTCTTGTCTCAGTTGGTTGTAGTCAAACGCAAGTGTGTGAACAGGCCTTAATGCATAGCAGTGCTGTCCCAGATAATGTGTTCTAAACCAGAGAGCTAACACATACACAATATTTTTGCGGTAAATCACCCGTTAAAATTTGTGCTCAAGTCGTAGCTGGGCAGAACTAGATGCCCTTAAAGTGCTAGTACCAAATGCAAGGATATCAGTGCTGCGGCCAGTGCAAAGGCCACTCCAATTCCTGCCGACGCAAAGAAGACAAGGAAGAACCGTTGCACTCCATGAAAGACCAATTGTCCCGTTGTCAAGGAAGCCATCTCCGGACTCCCCGACTCGAGAATTGTCCTGGTTGAGATAGGAAACAAAGTACCAAAAAGAGTTGCATAAAACAGGCCTGGGCATTAGTTTCTCACAGAAGGCCAGTGAATATAAATGGACACACACGCTCGCATGCAACGGTCATTTTGCAAGTACCGGTAACCTCATGTCTTCAAGGCAATTGAGAAAGCGAAAACCACTCACGTCGCAAGCACAATGGACACAGCATCATTGAGGATGCTCTCTCCAAAAACCAACATGTTGAGGATGGGGTCAATGTCCAGGGCATGAAAAATGGCCAGGGTTGCTACCGGGTCGACAGCCGAGATGAGTGAACCAAATGCAAAGCTCTCGGCAAAGTCCAGCCTGTAGGCCACATCTGCCTGCAAACAACAATGAGTGCTCCCTCTCAGACTTCCTGCCCTTTCAAATGACATTCCCTCAAACCTTTTTTTAAACACGTACCTTTTCACAAAGTCAAGTTTCATCGCCATAGGAATTTTTCTATGCACTCACGAGTAAACGGCTGAATTTCAACAGCTCCATGCTTTGGTCATCTTAGTGTCATTACAACAATGTGAAAAATTACAAAAGTGTGCAAAGTTGTGTTTGTCTATCATATATATCTCTTTCATTCATAAGCAAAGAGAAGTACGGCAATAATTCACTTTTAATGGCATAAAAAAATTTATGGTGCCTGGCAGTAATAACATGAAGCTGTAAAAGAGAAACTTTTCACTTCACAATAGTGGTCGTCACGTCCCAAAAAAAAAAAAATTTAGAATCCAGTTTTTTTTGTTTTTTTTTCTCAATTATTCGAGGTTAGCAGGATTTGCAAAACCTCGAATACCACAAAAAGTAAGTTGTTTAAGGAGTGCTCAAATTCAACGATATCCACTTTTACAAATATACTGGTTACTCAAACTGTCCCCCCTCTCGAGTAACCAGATGTGCAAGTGGTGGGCCATTCTCCCCTGTTCACACTTCAATGTCAAATAATGTTTGTTACGAGGCAAGTGCCTAGCCCCCCAGCAGCAGATGTGCTGCCATAATGATGGATCATTCCCACATCCCAATCTATTCAAGGTGCATTTGAGATTTCCGTTTATTTAATAAATAATAAACTGTTGAAATTTTAACATAAAAATAAGGGCTGACGAATGCAAATAAAAAAAAAAAGCAAAAAAAAAGCTCTAAATGCCATACGCTGAAAAGACACTGTTCCACTCACTAGACCCAGGAGGTAGACTCCACCACCGATGACAAGAGCTGATATAGTTGTGCCAACAATGGAGAAGATCAGGATTGATCCAATGTTTTGGAAAAAGTTTCCCTGAGCAAGAGGAAGAATGTCAGAGTAAAAAGCCATGCATCGAAGAGTGGCATGTGGTAAAGCAAAAGTATGCTACATTTTCTTTTTATTACAAAGATGCAAGACAGGATTTGTAGCAGTTCAGACGCCTCAACGTCTCTTCTTTCATCAGTCCCACTGTCAGTGACAGCTCAAAAAGTCCTTCAATTTTTTTTTGCTTTTTTTTTTTTTTAATGCATAGGTGTTTTCAGTCTTCGACTACTCTTTTCAAACTGTGGCATTAGGCAGCCAAGGTATCTTTCTTGGCATCTTTTTCATTAGTTTGTAGCAGGGAATGGTAGTGAAATTATTTGCACCTCTGTTTCCATTTCAGTCGGCCAACGAGTTTGGTTATTGTTTCCATCCCTGGTTCCTCCGATATAGACCTTTTCATCTCAGTTGTTACCTGTCAGGTGGACAGAGAATGCTGACACACACGGCACCATAAGGTGGCTTCAATTTGGTTGGTTTCGGTTTCAGCGGGCTCACAGCCGTGCTGGTGTGTCATGTCGTTTTCGCTTAGTTTTGCAATATATATGGACAATTTCATCTCAAATTGTGCAAGAAAAAATGATGGGTCCTCGAAAAATTCTGAAAAATATATGTTGGTGGAAAATGTGTGACCAGAACAAAACTGCAAATTAGAACTACGGAAATATTTTTGTTCTTTAGTTTTGGGCTTAGAAAGGGCAAAAATAGGTTTTGCAATTTTTGCAGTTTTCACTAGTGACACATTTTGGATTGATTTTTTGAATCTTGCACCTTTGACAATAATGGGCCAAGTTTGAATTGAGCTAGATTTTGATGTACAATTATATAAGGCATAAGAAACATATCAAATGAAAGCTTGTATCTAAGCCTATATAAATTATAATATTGTTAATTTAAGTGTAGTTTATATAATAGAAACAACACTTAAACATGAGAAGAAAAGTTGAAACTACAAAAGTCAATGTAATTTTAAGAAAATATGTATTTTTATTTTTTTGCAATTTTTTTTAATGAAAAGCTTTTTATGTGTTTTTATAAATGCAATAAAATTCCTTTAACATACATGGTTTCGTCATATTAAGCATTGCGTTTCAAAAGAAGACATATTTGTACCTCCATTCTACGAAGCATATCTCAGTCATTTCGTTTTTCACTTAAATATTACTTATTTTCGTAACATGATCATAGTTTTTGTTGGTTCTCGAGTACACACACAGTTCGGCAAAACTTATACATTGATAGTATTTATAGCATAAAATGAGAAGGGGCTCTTCCGCACATTCAGTTTGCTTAGTTAGTAAACTATAGAAATTGAGACTGTCTTAAACATTGTCATATGAGATTAACAAACATATATAGGACATTTTAAAAGTTTTTTGTGAGTTAATAGACCACTTGTGAGAAAAAACATTTCAAAGCGACGGCCCACCAAGCACGACAATAAGCGTGCATGAATTTTTTCTTTCTGGGTGGTTTCATCTCAAATCACACAAGAAAAAACATTGGGTCTTCAAAAAATTCTTGAAAAAATATGTTATGGGCAACTCTTCATTAGAACAAAATCGAAAATGTTTTTGAATAAAAAAAAAATTTATTCTCAAGTTATTAATTTTTAATTGACCGAAGGCAGATGCTGAGTTTTTGGCGATTATCAGAGGTCGCACATTTGAGAATCTTGCTAAGCTCATGTATTGGCTTCACAGCAATCAAACTTTTTTTACATGTTTTACACTTTAGGTACAAGTTCTTAATAACAACTAAAATTTTTTTCTCCATATTTCATAAAATTAAATTGTCAAACCTAGTCCCTTTGACAAATATTTGACGAACTTGCCAAAACGTTGAACGAAACTTTCGTTTCGTTCAACGTTTTGGCATCAACAGCACATCAAACAAAAGCTTAAAACATGATCTATTTCTGAAAAATATAATGGGTATTGTCAATTAGGTGTAATGCAGTGAAACAAACCTCTGAAGAAAAGAGGAATCGCTCAAAGAATGATATTCAAAGTAAATTTTCTAAAATCCCATTTTTAATATTCTTTTAATTTGTTTTTGTATGGAAACTTTTTAACATAATCTTTAAATGTTGATAAAAATTAGAGTGCATATTTTGTTTTTGATGTAACGCCATGCGTTTAAAAACATGACATTTTCCACTCTGCTAAGCACGACAATCTGGATCGTTCGTGATTGTTTTGCACGGCTATATATCGGTATGCATCTGACCTATTGTATTTATGTGTTTGTAGCAGAACTGACACGTCACCAATGTGTTGTTTCTATGAGTTTCATGCAGAACATAACTTGGTATAAGCAAACACAACATACACGTCCTGCGTGTTTTGGCAACCTTACTCTACACATCTCCACATATCTACACACAAAAAAAAATCCTCATACCATCTTCATATTTTACCTCGTTATAAGCATTACTATTTTAGTAGTAATCTAATTGGATTGTTTTAAGTAGTGAGGTTTCATGTTGATTATAAGAATTCAAAAAATGATTATGCTTTCGGTTACATGACGCTAAAAGAGGCTGCATTATCAGGAAGAGAAACGGCTTAGAGTCTACCCCCCTGCACCCTATTCTCAACGGATTTGTGCGCGTCTAACCGACGTATTTGTAGCGTATAGCGGGATTCACAACACCTCACTCTGGCGACGCTTCGAGGTCGACGCCTTTGAGCGCACCTTGGTGACCTTCCCCTCTCAATCTCCCCGAGGAGAGCGCCTGCTACACCTTGACAGTTGCTTAGAATACGATGCATGTGGGTAGGCCTTTACATTCATTTTGTTTTGCATCACAGTATTATCCCGCTGTCCCTTTGCCGAGGTCATTTGCTGGCCGATGCCTGGGCCACCGACAGCCCCCAATGGATACTGCCCAAACAAAGTTCCTTTCTCATGTCGCAACAGCTACGAGTCACTGAGAGGTGGCTGACAGCTAAAGCAAACACACAGAGAGGGATAGAAGCGGTGTTGTAGATCTACCAAATAAGAGTTGGCTGGTCCGTCGAGCCGGTGAAGTTACAACCTTTATAATCCTCTAATGGCGGGCCTACCCGTTGGTGTTGTGGCGACTTTCCATTTTACCTCCCTATCCCTTTTCTCCCCCTCCTTATCTCCCAATTGGCAATGACCTTGTGGCCATTCTGGATGGAATAACATTACGCGGTTTTCTCTCTCCTCAAAGCATTATATCTCTCCACGTGTTGAGTTGGTCATGCTGGCAGTGGCCTTCTGCCAACTCAAAGCCAGAAACATACCGCCTTTTTCCTTTTCTCAAAGCTCAGTCACGCGTCAGCTGAGCTGGTCATTTTTGGCACCGAAGAAGGAACGATGGCAGGCACCTTCAAAAAATGTAGACTGTTTTGCCCTGATTATGCCAGAAGACACAAAAGTAAAATAGAATACCAGCGCAATTTCTGCAAAGTGTCCGATCTGGACTTCGAATTGCTGAGCAGCTACTTCCAACAAAACAAGCAGCATCTATCAACAGAGACGACAGCATTTGCAAGAACTGCTTTGCACAGTTCAAGAGCAACCTGCAAGACTTCGTCTAGGAGCAGGGGAGACTTTCATATCTTTTTATCTCTGGAGGTAAAAACATGTCTTTTCAAATGCACTGCTTAATACGACAAAACCATATATGTTAATTATATTTTATTGCATATAAAAGAACACATAAAAAGCTTTTCATTTAAAGAATTGGAAAAAAATAAGAACACATTTTTCCGAAATGACGTTAAATTTTGTATTTCTAGCATTTCTTCTCAAGTTTACATTGTTGTTGCTTCCTTATAAACTACACCTAAATTAACATTATAATTTTTAGATTTGTTTAAAAACAAGCTTTCATTTGACATGTTTCTTGTGCCCTATATAATTGTACATCGAAAGCTAGCTTGATTCAAACTTGGCCTATTACTGTCAAAGATGCAAGATTCAAAATTTATATTAAAAAAAAAAAAAAAAGGCTGCTAGAGAATTTTAACGCTTCTATACAAAGTCTTAAAACAGTAAAAAAATTAAAAAAGTGTTTGTGGAAAAAAGAATCTAAAAGTTTCGAGACTTCAAATGGTTTCACTCATGAAAACTGCAAAATGGCAAGACGTTCCTCTGCCCTTTCGAAGCCCAAAACTCAAGAACAAAAAATGTTCCGTAGTTTTAATTTGCAGTTTCGTTCTAGACACACATTTCCCACCAACATATATCTTTTTCAGAAGTTTTTGAGGACTAATCATTTCTTCTTGCATAATTTAAGATGAAATCACTCATATGCATCCCTTGTGGTACATAACCACTAATAGAGTGGTAATGGGCCACCTTGAGAACTACGACATACTTACGAGACTGAATAGTGGACAATTTTACGAACACCTTCGTCTGATCATGTTCTTCGTTCGGCAGCAAAACATTTGAAATGATGCCGGGGGAGGATTACGGATGTCTACGGCAGTACTGGACATACTCGCTGATACTAGTTTCCATAAAAATAAACTAATGAAGAGACTAATGCATGGAGGCACAGTGAAAAAACAGGTCGATGACCTGACTAACAACGTGCTGAATTGCAGAGAACAGATATACTTGCAAGCTTAGTGCTCTCTGTTCAGTTTTCGAGGACACCAACGTTTTATGAAAATTGCCGACTGGGAAAGCCCCCGTAATGACGCATAGAATGAAAAAGAAAGCGACATAGTCTCCATTGGTTTCTTAAAGAAATTAAGCACACGAGAGATGTTTCAATGGTCCATCCTAGGCCAAGTAAGAAATTATTTTAACTATCGACCCTGCGAAAGTATTCATTAGCAGCATTTTACAATGTTGAACTTAGGAAACTATTTGTTATACGGACATTTCCTTACAACATATTGAGAATATGGGATAAGGGTCAAACCCATCATTTTGCTAAATAGAATTAAATGGCGCAAGAAAATTGACCTCCAGCAAGCTTGGCTCAAGTCAAATCCCAGGTGCCACTTCATGAATTTGAGTAGACATATATGTATTTGTTTGAACAGATACGCTTTTTACTTTCAGCGGCATCGAGAGTAAATTCGGCACCGATAACACTGCACTCGAGTGATTGCCATGCAGATGGCTTCTTTTCAACGTCACATACTGCGTGCCTCAGGTGCTTTTGTCAGGCACTCACAAGCTGTGACACATTTTTCAGCCGGGGAGCCCAACTCTTTGTGTCCAAATAAATTATTTGAATTGGATACTATCTTAAGAAAATTGAATGACTACAGACATGAGACCGGGCAGCGCTATGTATAGTTTCTTTAAATTCATAAATAAACAGACCAAGCGAATGTTTATGTCGCAAAACTGATTCCCCACAGAAACAAAAGCAACTGTTCTGGATTTGCTATGAAGGTAGAGCACTATGCTTTCAAGAAACACACAGTGACTCCTTGCTTTAACTATATGTATTTGCCTTCTTTAAAATCATAAATGTGTGCACCTTGCGCTGCTTCTCATTGCATCACTACCACTTGAGCAAGTTTGCGCTGTCTTAAATAACTGGCCTCTCAACCCTCGTGTGACTCAATGTGCGCCAAAGCTAATGCTAATTCCTTTCCTCACATGTATCCGGTACGCCGATGGTGAAATAGTCAAAACGTGTTATAAAATCAAGTGTACAAGTTGTGCACATAATGATGACATGCAGTTAGGAAGTAAAAATGAGCATAAGACGACACTTCACAAAGCAAGGCGAAAAACTGCAGTAAAACGCGTTGAAAAACATGAATACAACGCCTTCGCCAAGGTGCGGAGAGGAGCGACGAGTTGAAGCCACCTTATGGCGCCGCAGCCGCATCACATGATCCCTAGATGACAGCGCCCACGCGACGGAGGGTGAAAAGGTCTATAAAGTGTGCTTTTGCTTCTATTTCAAGAATCAATTTGTTGCTGCTTCTGTGGCTTACAATTCACACTACAAACCATTAGAGCTCGAACAAAAATGTCATAAAATCCTCGTTTCCAGAATTGAACACCCATATATTGACATGAACAATGATTCCTTGAGGACACTCATGTTTAGCACCTTGGTGGCAGAAAGATGAGCCTTCTAAAAGCTCAACGGGCTTCTAAACCAAGCTCAGAAGCTGCAAATTATTTTGAACTGTGGCCTCAAACTCACGAGCCAGGTAAGTTTACACGAGTCAGTTAAAATCTCCATGAGCAAAAACAAACCAACAAGTGAGGCCATAACAGGGGTCCTGAAGTCAAGCTCTGCTATTACTTCATTAGACAAAGGCAACTTTGTTTGTTTCCAATTAAAGAGGAATTATTTTCCATTACTTACAACAACCTTTGTTTTGATTCTGGTTTTCAGAACAGGTAAAAGAAATGGAACAACTGTTTCAGTTCTCATTTTCATAGAAGGCTAAATGGCATAAGTTGGTATTACTACAGTACTTACCTTATGCAAGTTGTAGCCAGACTCATAAATAATGGGTGGCAGCAGAACAAGAAAGAACATGGTTGGACTAAATGCTTCTTCTTTCTAGAACAATACAAGAGGGTTTTAAAAGTTACTACTGCTCACACTCAAAAACCTTCCCTTCAGAAAAAAAAAAAAAAGAAAGGATGAAAACGAACTGCTTTTTTAAAGTAATTCTACATTTGAAGGTGAAAACGATCCTTGAAAGATTTTCAATCATACTGATAACAATGAGCAATGGACAAAAGAAAAAGTGCCCCAAACATTTTTTACTAAATATATTACAGAAGCTTTTGATCAATATGAAATATACAATTTTGAGCACAAGTAATTTGGATAAATACGGATAAATGAAAGGTCAGGGCAGATTATCCGTGTTACCTGCCAGTTTCCAAGATGCTGGCTCGAGATCAATTTCAATACAAGACCTATTAAGGCACCTGAAAAAGACATATAGTAGAGTAAATGTCATATCATGCCAAACATTCCATCTGAAATGATTTAAGTTAAACTCACCAATGAGTACCACCACCACACTTTCAGGCAGGAACTCAAAGTTGGCTTGAATTAGGAAGTGAATCATCAGAATGCAGACAGCTGAAATGTACAGGAGCTTTTTAGTTAAACAGCCACTGGGTTTGTTCGCAAAACATTGCCACTGAAGCCAAATGTCTTGGATTAGTCTAAAAAACAACCCATTAACTTTTTTTTTTTGCAGCGGATTACATTACATTGTTTGGTTTGTATATAGAGAAAGGAAATAATGGATGGATGGATGGATGTTAATGGCTATTCCCTTTGTAACGGGCGGTAGCTTGCGCCACCTAGCCTAAAAAGGTGATAAGAGCAGGGTTGCCTTTTAACCTGTAAAGCACATCTCATCAGTACAATCACTGAAGAAGCAATACATTATCTAAAGCTAATACAGTGAGGGAGCACCAAGAAGGTAGCATCCCACATAAAATTCAAAATGTTTCAAGCAAACTTTCTTCTAACAAACTGAGAAATCGCCTGCTTTTGACCGTACCCTGTAATTTGACAATCCAGCCTACTGGTGTAGAGCCTGTGCTGATCCAAAGTTAGGAGGGCACGGCACACAAACCTATAACGCTGAGCGCAAAGAAGATGGTCATGCTAGAGTGGTGCTCTTCCTCCGCAGAATCCTTCTGTGGAAGAACTGGATCGGCAGGAGGCGGCGGCGCCGCCGATGTGGTCGATGATGAACCGACATCTGTGGTTCCGTTGCTGGTTCCTTCTGTCGCATTAGACGTAGTCTGCAAACTGGATTTGGAACCCATCAAGTATTACATATATGATACCTAGTTTTGTGTCATATAATGAGCAGTCTTGGGCAGTAACTAGCAGTTACTAGTAACATGCTACCGGTAACTAGTTACTTTATTTGGCAACTTGTAACTGTAATACATTACTGTTTGGTAGAAATAACCTGTAACTATGACCGGGCTACTATTTCCTGGAAGTAACTGTAAAGAGTAAAGTTGTTAAAGTTACTTTTCAGATTTCGGCTTGAAATTGTTCCAAGCACGACCACCAAATCGTCTCACAACTCGTGAGAGATGGCATGGCACTCAAAGTAATCTAAACACTGAAGCGAGAGTGTAAAAAAAAAAAATTTTGAGTGATATTGCTTGGCCAAGCTGGTCACGCTAACCGGGGGAATGGGGACGATCATGTCCCTACACGTGTAAGGTATATCGCCCACAGCGCACGAATATGGAACAAAGCACAGCATCCTTAAAGCGTTTCTCTTTTCTTCATCCGACTGAGGTAGCAGATGCTTTTCGTGAAGGAGTTTTTTTGTAATTGTCACCAAGACACTCATTGCTTAGGGCAGAAATGATTTGCCAAACCTTGTCTTTTTGCCACTAAGCACACATTGCTCTTTAATTTTAATCATCCAACTCCCAGAGGCGCTTTTGCAAGCTTCGACTTCCAGCCCTATTCCCCCACCCCAGATGCTTTCCCTTTTTTTAGAAACCAATTACCGGCCTAACCTCTTCTTCTGTATGTCACGCAGTTGTTGTTACTCATTTCTTTACTTTCCGAGTTTCGTCACTTGAGAAAGAGCATTTGCTTGAAACATCTTCTGTGCCATTCTGCCTTTTGTGTGCAAATATGCAAGATTTTTATTACTTCCGTTCTATTTCTCCTCACCAGAGAAATCCGAAATTATGATTAACTGATTGTAAACTCGCATTACATTTGGATATAGTACATTGTCACAGGTGTAACCTTAAGATGGACAAGCTTATTTTCCCGTTTTTCATGGATTCTGGATCAACTGGCGTCGGCTGGTTTACCATTGTGAAGAATTAAAGTTGCTCATAATTTTGCCAAGGAACTAACTAGAAATGCTCTATCGACGTCTAGTCATGCAGTATTTACCCAAATACTGCTCAAATATTATCCCATTCAGGGTTCTATTATGGTAAAAATGAAACTAGAAAGAACCAACCATGCAAATACTCACTATTGGAAAAACCCAGGTTTCTCAAAAAGCAAGATTCATTATTGCAAAGAACATAATGTTTCATCAAGAACCTACACAAAGGCACATTAACAGAGGTACCGTTTGGAAATTCTTAGTCATTTTTGTAAACTAACGAAAATAGTGGCGGCATTACTTTTTTGTGAAAACCGTCTGTAATTGTAACAAGTTACCCATTCAATTTTGTAACTGTACCTGTAGCCCAGATACTTTTCTTCCTTAGTAACTGAACCTGTAACAGTTACGTTTTAGCAGTAATGTGCCCATGACTGGATGAAAGTCATAAACTATAAATACTGAACATTTTGATGGTCAACTATAGTCTGTGCGAGGTTAAAGGCCGGCCCGCAAGCAGAGAGAAGAAACCCGACCCTCACTTTCCTTCTCGCCACTGTGAAAGGAGGAAATCGCCTCTCGTTTCCTCCTCGCCGTTTTCCGATTTTTTTTGTATTTTTTTTTGCCAGCTGCCTGTTTTTTTTTTTTTTGTTTTTTTTTACAAGTTTGGGGTGGAGGAAATGAAAGCTTCAAGGATTTGAAAAGATTATCCAGAAGCCAGCCGGCACACCTGCGACAAGGACCTGAACCAACCGAGTAGCTGTTTTGAGCGAGCTTGGCACTTGCTCTTCCCAACGAGTTGCATTGGCTCTTTTTTAGCATTGGTTTGGAAGACGACTCTTTGCTGTTGTGAGAGCACAAATGCCTTGTTCTGCTCAAAGAAGTAGTCATTGAAGCATCAATTTTAATATAAATATCTGATTTGGCATCTTTTGTTGTTTACGCGTATTCATGGCGACAACGGGAAGTACGAGCGGCGTTTTCTGTATATCAGGGATGGCGCTCCATAGACCAGTGGTTCTGAATCGTCATGGTTCGTAAACCGGCAGAGGTGACAGAGGATCCCATCCGCAGTGGGTCTAGCACTTTTCGGTGTAGAGCGTTTTGCTGTAGGGCATTTCGGTGCGGACTTTTTGGTGCACAGACATTTCAGTGTACGGACTTTTTGCTGCAAAGACTTTTCGGTGTGGGACTTTTTGGTGAGCGGATATTTCGGTGCACGGACATTTTGATGCATGGACATTCGACGCTATGGTTTGCTCGCCAGTATCTCTTTTCCAACGTACGCAGACACGCTTCACATCGTGTTTGCGCGTTGAGTTGATAGAAATAGTCTCCTCTATAAGGTGCTGACTTTATTATTGGTCCTGCGTGTAGGAAACGACCCAAACAGCAAGACGTTTGAAGTTGTTTGTGTATTCAGAACAATTTTGAATACCTTCAAATGCGCCTCCTCCGCGTAATCGTATAGCTCCGATTCTTAATAATAAATTGTGATGACCTCGCACGACAAAAAAAAATACAAAAAACAATGTAATTATTACTTGTAACTCATTAGGGAATAAAGTAGGCGTGTGCGGGTACAAAATAAGTGTAATCAAATCAAATATCGATTTGAATCAAGTAAACAAGCCGAATTTGGTGAATGCTAAATCTATATTATTTGGTATCAAATGTTTGCTCATTCTCGTACGAAAACAAAACAAAACAGTGACCACAGATCATACACAGAGTATGATCTGTGGTCAACGTCTCCTTCCATGCCGTAATGATGTCGCCGGACGTAAAGAACTGCCTTACAATCGTGCTTATACAGGGCGATTTTTTTTAACGACTGGACATTTTTCTAAAAAAGACGTCAGAGTTACGCAATTGCGGTTTGTGCCTCATCTATAGTCACCAAACACCAAATCATTCATTTTTAAAGAGATGTAGTGGACGTGAAGTGGCTCACGGCGTCCTAAAAAGCCTAATTCGGACGCGAATCGTGTTACCGCAATCTTTTCGGCCACCGCACTCCTCGCCCCTTCTACAGTGGCGTTGTAACAGCGATGCGCATGATTTGTCGCTTTAGCTTCATGGCTTTAGGCTGTGCTACGCGGAGATGGAGCCCACATAAAATCAGAACTATATTTTCGCGCCCAAATTAGGAGGACGCCGTATAATAGTGTACGCGCGCTACATCTTTTTAAGAATGGACGGTTTGGTGGCTTGCGATTATGGCCAACAACTTTCTAAATACAAGATGCCGTTTTCTTTTCTAATTAAAAGGTTAAGTAGCGAATTTTAGGCAATCGGTCGGTTTTAGTTGCGTTCGTTATTGAACCTAATCCTCGCCTGGCCGTACAGCTCACCTACACAAACCGCAATGGCGCTAATTTTCACTGGACAATTTGGTGGCTTTCGATTACGCCCAACAACTTTATAAATCAACTATCCCGTTTTCTTTTATAATCAAAAAGTTTATTAACAAATGTTAGGTAATCAGTCGGTTTTTGTTGCGTTCTTTCTTGAACCCAATCTTCGCCTGGCCGTTTAGCTCACATCCACAAAATGTTAATTTCCACGTTTTTTTCTAATATCTAGTAGGTGAAAAAAAAAAATAAAATAAACGTTGTATGTAAAATAAAGGGCAGTTATTTTCTGATATAAATAAACCGTGGGGCACGCGTCTTGCATGCATCTTTTTTTTTTTTTTTTTTCCGGCCTATGAAAACAAATCCCGGGACATTCGAAATTGAGTTTATGATGGGGCGGGCGCTTTATCACGGGGTATTTTGTCATGTTTCATAAGCTTTATTACTAGTCAGAGGGAAGCCACGCGAGCCGCATCACGTTGCAAACAGCTAATTCGGGTGTTTCTCAAGCAGCTCTAGAACTTTCCAATTGACATTTTGGTTCTTAATACATCTAAAAAAGTTTGGTACTTAGTCCTAAACATTTAATTTATTAGGCATAATTAAAAATACTGCAACTCTCGCAAGACGTCTACCCAAAAGATAAAGTTGGCTTAATTCATTGGCGTAAAGTGGCTGCGTCTTTCATTTTTATGCTTGGTCTTTAAAGATTCGTGAAAAGCATTCGCGACCTTATCTGGCAAGGCGCGTACGCGGACAGCGCAGCCTCCTCGGCAAGTTGTTCCCTCATCGAAGACGACAATGAATAAAAGGTGCGATAAAAATCTTAATGCCTGAAAAAAGCGCAAGTTTAAAATAATTCTAAGGGTGTCAGTTGATTTTATTTCTACTATATTCAAATTTCAACACTCGTCGCGGGAAGCATGAAAGGAAGCACTGCACTCTTGGCGCAAACCAGTGCCCAGTCAACGGCTCTACACTCAAACACGCATCACCACCCGACCTGTTTGAAAAATAAATAATTTTCAGTACTTTTGGTAGAAAAGGCGAATTTTCTACTGAGCGTGATATTTTGTGGACCCAAAAGTCCTGCAGCCGGGGCCGGTAGTTCATAGCTTCAGGAAGACGAAGAACGACGGATGCATTATTTCCCGCGGAAGTACTGTTTTGAATTTGGATTCCACATAAAATTGTATATGCACAAATTGTGGCACGATACCGAACTTGCTTGATTACTTTTCTTTTAAAGACAACATAACCAGGCATAATCTACAGATATTGCAGAATTCATTTTAATTGGCGTACAGCGCGAAAGACAAGTATGGACATAAAGAACACAATAGAGCTCTGCATCTCTACTGCATTTCTTTCCGTACTTGTGGACAGTTAGTCCGCATGACTATATTCAAAAACTGCCAAATTGTTTAAGCCTACCACTTTTTATAATTTTTTTCGTAGATTAATTGTGGCGAATCTTGGCTGGGTTCGGGTAAAGATGTCGCACGTGTTCAAGGACACATTTCGGCATGATTTCCCGCTTGGTGACGACGTTGAGCTGACCGCTGTTCCACTCCTTTTCTAAGTAGGCGGGGAACGCCAGACGCCTAAATTATCCAAGCAGCCCCAAAACTTGCGGTAGTACACCTTCCGAACTCCTGGTTTTTTTTGGAGATGGCCTTCGCCCACCCTGACAAAGCCCCAAACAATTATGTAAGGGCTGCAGAGGATATCTGGGCATCCCGTTTCTTCATCAGCGAACAAATGCGAACAGAAGAGAATGAAAACTTCGTAATACCTGGTGTCTTTTAATAAATGGCATAATATTGCTAGTGGCATAATATTGCTAGTTGCACTATTTTACGCGAAGCAAATTGTGATTTTGCGGTTCTATCTCCGTGTTTCCCGTTCTCTTTGCTGATACGCAAGATATTTGTCGGGTGTCAAGTTTTCAGTTACATTTGTCGACAGAAACTAAATGCACGTTTGGCCACGAAGAAATTTTTTTCAAAGGCTGAAGATAGATGAAATATACCATAAACCGTTTAAGTTTTTATGGAAGTTTGTTTTTACTCTTCTTAGTAGCTTCAACGAGGCGGCTGTCACTCTAGAAAACACCTGTAGTACGAACCTATATATTATGCCCCAGAAATGGTCAGACTGGGTCCCTCTGACTGCAATATCTTTGACTTGTAATTACTCATAAATATTACTTTGTACAAAAAACAAAAAAAAACAACAAAAAAAAAAAAAAAAAAAAAAAAACGCAATAGTGATATAATCACTCTTCAGTGTGCCGTTTTTAGAACGACAAATTTTCAACTCTCTGGGTAGAGCTCAAAGTTCGGATAAAAATACCCATCTTTTTTCCTTCTGCTGTGATGTTCAAGTTCCGTTCACTCGAGATAAATATGCGGTGGTGTAGCGTGTGTGGCCGCATGCGAAAGTATCTGGATGTAAAATAACCTGTTGTTGGGCTAGTTGGTGTTGACTATCTGAGTGTGTTTTAGAACTGCAGAAAAAGAGCAAAAAAGAAAAGAAGAAGAAAAGCGAACCAGCCCGAACCCTTCCGAGCTCATATCCAGCCTGCCTAACTAATCCCTGGTTTTTGGGATTGAAGCAGAGAACCTTGAAGGGTTACAGAGATTTTGTCGGGGGGCCGGTAAGCCCATTAGCACTCGTGCGAGAAGGCCGTAAAAAGCGAGGAGGAAAATGGAGGAGGAAAGGGGAGGAGGAAAAAAAGAAAAGAGGGGGAATCTTCTGCCACGCTGAAGAAAATTTTGAGCCCCCGCCTTTAAGAATAGACCCCTTTCGAAATGCTGCCCTCTGTTGGCAGCTGTGCAATCCGTGCACCAATGGCAGACTAAAAACTCAACCTCACGGGCACACTGGGAAAAAAACACACCCACATAAAAAAGGTGATGAGCTCAATGACAATGCACTTTTGAGGCTGCTTGATGGCTCGTTGCTGGCTGGTAGTGTTGGCCCCCCCTACGATCTTATCGAATGACTTGCACAATGCAGTGGTTCTGCCATAGTGCAGTGGTTCCAATAATGGGCACGTGAAAAGGGTCAACAGTAAGACGAGCTCCTCCCCTTTCCACTTTAGCGGAGTGAACTATGGAGAGCAGAAAATTATAAATTTTAGCAAGCAGACAGCTTTGCGGGAAGGGCTTGTCCTGCTGTTGTAAGCCTGCAACAAACTACAGTGCTGCGACTGCCAGAAAAAAGAAAAAAGCAAGTGTGAACCGAATTAAAAGGCTAAAGCACCCTTGCCACATCATTGGTTATCTGGAAGGTAAAGTTTGTTCGTACAAAGTAAATACTGGAAGCTTGCAAATCAGTATTCAGTCCACGGTACTTGTACCATGAAGTGAATGGGAAAATAAAAGTAAGAAAGGTACATATCGTTTCACCAGCTGTAAAACTGCGTGCAAAACAAAAATAAAAGGATAAAAAAAAAAGTAGCAGCTGCGCAGTTTTGTTTGGTACTGTCGTCCTGTCGTCCTAGTACGAAATTACTGCACCATACAGAGGTAACTGCAGGTGCTGCGTCGGGCCCAAAACAGCGCGTGAATGGCTAATGAAAGTCGACGTACAGGGCGACAGAAAGAAACAAAACGCTCGCGAATAAAGTTTTGCCGGCACTTGTCAGAAGCACGACCGGTCGTGGTCCGAGGTTATCTTACTCTTATTCAATCGGACTTTCACGATAATTACAGCGTTTACAAGACATTTCATTTATGAGGTAATTTTATGCAGCTGCGCAAAGAATATCGATGAAAGAAGGAAAAAAAAGTCAGAAAAGCTGCTGACACCCCTTTCCTTTTTTTTTAACGGATATTGCGTCGCATGCATGCAGAGAAGATCGCCTTACATGTTCTTTTCTGACGTCGGGCTAGACGAGGAATTGGGCTTGACGGTGTTGGTAGCAGCCGGAGTGGAACTGATCGAAGCGTGGACTTTGTTGCTTGAAGGCGCACTATTTGCAGAGAGTACGATCGAAATAAAAGCGGCACTCAATGCTACGTGCAGTATGCTTGCCATTCTGGAGGGAAGGTAGCTTGGACGGACGGCCGCTTTGCTTAGATGTGGTCAGTCACCGACACATATCGAACCACCTCGCTGCAACTGAGGCGTTATTCAACCCATATTTTCGGAACTTCGCCGTGCCACCCGTGAATTCAGGACAGCTCGGCCGAAGCGCGACCGTGAGCAGAAACTTTTCCAGGCAGAGGCAGCGACAACTGCCGGTGTAGGACGCCGATTTCACTACCCCTCCTATTCTCCATGCCCCATAGAGATCATACATACTAACTCTAGAGGAAAAGGTCCGCCATTTTCCCATACATTATGGCTGCCGCAAGCAGGGGGGGTAGAGGTGGGTGAGGAGGAGTGGCAAATCCTGTGCGCCGACATCCGGGGTCCCGAGTGAACGATCGCAAAAGAGAGGACAGAACACAAGAGAAAGAAAGCAACGTTGCCATGGTAAACGCGAAGAGTGAAAACTCTCAGCAATATAAACAGTGATAATTTAACGTTGTAAACTAAGATATGAGCTATTCTAACGCTTATAAAAAGCAATAAAGTCATTACGCTGCATTAACTTCCCTTCTGTCGAAATCTCGGAAATATGGTGGTTGCGCAGTTTCGTATTCCTCAACCGCGCCCAGCCGCGCCCCACCGGCGAAGCCGGGTATATGGTTTAGTTTAGCGTTAACGCGAGGCCGTACATCTGCGCGCTATGCAAAAAGAAAGCTTCGAAAGGAACGCGAATATCTTTCCACCGGTAAGTTCGTGGATTGTTGAAGTTCACGAAACTGCTCTGATGATGTAACCGTGTTTGGGACCCCGAGGGTCTGCCTGCATGATCCGCCGCTGGCGCCGCTGGCGGCAGCCAGAATGTATGGGAAAATGGCGGACCTTTTCCTCTAGAGTTAGTATGTATGATCTCTATGGCCGGAAGCGGCGGATCATGCAGGCAGACCCTCGGGGTCTGCCTGCCTCGGGGTTCCAAAACCCTGTTAGGGACCTCGAGGCAGACCCTCGGGGTCCCAAACATGGTTCGCCGACTAAATCAACTGTCGGCTAGCATTGTTGACGTTTGCTTTAAAAAGACATAATCCGAGTTTAACTAAAACTTTAACAGTTATTTTTATTAATAAAGTTATTAGGGAATCATTAATGTAGATTTTGCTACTAATATATACTTTTTAATTTATTTTAGTCGTTTATAAAAAAAAATGCCGTTTCAATAATTTCAATTTATTCGAAGCGTAACCAAGGTTACGGTTAGCAACACTGGAATTCGCTGCTTCTCGCGCTGCTGCTCGCGCTCGCAATCTCGCGCCATTTGTTCTGCCAAATACCGCCATTTGCCGCTTGCAGTGAGCTCAATGGCCAGCTTAACCGTAAATAAAGACATCTTTTACCGGCGAATGCGAAGATTATACGCAGCTTGGCGGGTATGGAACGAGTGCTTATTGCTTTCTTTCTATTCAAACTAGAACTGCACGCTCTTAGCGTTCTGTTTTTACCGAAACTCGCTATGGTTACCTGATCGCTTTGTCGCAGTGGTTACGACGACACTGGTTTATTCGAGGGAAGCTCAAATGTTGTCGGGTGTCAGTAGAAGGCTGTGATACCTTGCCTGGACACGCACCCTTGAACTTAGGGGTGTATTGAAGTACGGGAAGGAATAAATCTAAGAGAAGTTGACTTCCGCGTTGTTACTCGCAAACACGTGCCGTTGCGATTCAAAAAGAACAGTTCAATGTTCAAATTTAACTGGTTCGGGACGTGCGACGAATGTTTCTTGGTGGTACCATGTCGCTCAGTATTGTTTCAGGTATTGCTTGTTGCGCCTGGTTTCTTATGAACCTTGGTCAAGCCACGGAAGTTCGCGTACGTAACGATATTAGCAAAGTATTTTATCAGGATGTGAAGCTCTGCTAGTCACTTCGGCATGTAGGCTCGAACCTTCAACGGAACGTCGCGGCAGTGTGTGTCAGAATCGGTTGCTGTTGATGTTGTCGAAGCCTTCTACTACAAAGCAGTAACAGTAGATTTTGTGTACAATTTTGTAAGTGCTGCAGCAAAGCGTTCGGAATACTGATAACCGTGCACGCACGCACCTGACTACTTAATTTCAGAAACCGGACCAAAACTATGGCCCCTTCGCGAAGATGGACGCTTTGGTTTCAGCCGTGGGAGTGGATGAAGATGTTGTCTACAGCAAGTCAACTGCAATACAGGTTGGGGCCTCCTGTGGGTTTCCTTTTGTTTTAGAGCACAGCTGAGCAGTTTATATGCAGCTGCTATCTTTGATGTGAGATATAAAACTATAAAAGTTTTAAGCTGGAAACTGGGGCTTTTCCTTTCTGCATGTGCTAGAAAATGTTGTGCCATGCTTATACCTCTGCCATGTGCAGCCAATCTGTCCAAATCTTGTAAAGGATGGGTATAACGTACTGTCGTGTCCTTCCTGCTGTCTGTTCTTTTACACATGTTTGATGCAACAACACATTGCCCATCTCTTCTGGGATTGCCTTATGTAGTTTGCATGCTTGAGGTGCCCGAGTGGTCATAGGTGTGGCACCTTGTACGAGGAATTGTTGTCATGCTGAACTACTTGTTGCACAAAATACTGTCGGAACGTGGTTCCTTGTGTGACGAGTCATTTTATTTCACAGACTGGTGTTTGTTCAATTTTATTCATTAGATTGTGAAGTGCCTCAGGTAGTAAGTTAGCATCAACATAATTTGTGCTAGAAGTAAAATAAGTGCAGCGACATATGTTCCCATACCTTCTGTGCAGCGTAAATGAAACATACAGATAAGTGTACCCTGTATCAAATGTGGAAACCACATGCACAAGTGTGTCACCTTGGCAAAGAACTCTTTTAGCACATGACCTCATGCAACAAGCGTCCTTTCCATAGCTACACACTCGTGCCTTTGAATTTCACAATGTAGTGTGAAACTCGTGAAACCAAATATGTTTTTTTTTTTTTAATAGGAACATAACCATCTTGGTAGCTTTCATTAACATGACACATTCACTGGCTAGTATATCAGGGGATTGAATCTGTTTGTTTATTGAACTTATGGAGACCATACAAATACCTTATACTGAGAAGCACATGTCATTCCAAAATTCCTAAGTGCACTGACTGTAGAGTGCTGGCATGCTCTTTGAGAATTTGAAGGTATCCTGGTTTACATCTCAATATTTGTTTGCAAGACAAATAATGTCGAGCTGGACCATCTCCAACTCTTGCAGTGCCTGCCAATCCTTAGGCATCCCAGAAAAACCCATAGGTTGGGCAGACAGTAGTCTTATCTCTCTGTGTTCTGTTGTATCTTTGGTATGTTGTGCTCATTCGGATTCCCAGCTCAAAAAAAGGAGTGGCGGTCATGGCCACTAAACACTAACAGGCTACTCAGTTATTTTTTCCTAGCAGTATTTATTTTCTCCATATCCAATAAATGCAAACCTCATTTTCTGCTTATGGTGTACCCTGCCTGGTGCAGTGGCATTGGAGCCTTGCAATGAGTTTTCATGAATTTCATACCCTATTGACTAGTGCTGCCAAAGACGAGAGGCCTGTTCAGGCCTGTTCATGTCAGTCAGTACCAACCACCCCCAGGGTGGGTTCAGGAATCTGATTACTGCCCTTAAGCACATGGATTACATTGGGAATATGCTAGTCCCCTAAGCATATTCTTAATCTTCTAAGGCTTTTTTTCTTAAATGAATGACTTGCAAATTTAAACATGAGTGGATTGGAACTTCCTTCATCACGCAAAAACACTGATCTTTTTTTTAGCCAGTGCTTTTGTTTAAAGCAAGGTGGACAGTGTTCCCATGGGAACACGGTTGGCTTTGCGGCCAGTGTTCCTGTGACAGATGGCCCCCTTCGCTTGGTGTTGCTATGTTCAACTGACCTCAGACGAGAAGGCAGGCGCCGCCAGTTGTCTTGTGGCGAGTTCTCGATGACGACTGGACTGGTTCCCGTATTGTCCTTTATTTGGCCTGCTAATCTTGGGTTGTTTCAAAACAAAGAACACTAGTAGCCTAACTGCAGGGATGGGCAAAATACATGCAAATATGTATTGAAATACAAATACAAAATACTTCATCAAAAATGTATTTAGTTACAAATCTAATTACATTTCCAAAAAAGCATTTAAGTACAAGATACAAGTACAACCAAATGTATTTGGTCTCCTCCAAATACTTTTCCAAATACATTTTTCAAAATTTGCGTCAGCGACTTCAGGGCACCTGCGACGGGTTTCTGGGTATTTCATTTTAATTTTGCATTGCACACTCGGGAGTTAGTGTGCGAGGCTCTAGTAACGTAACAGAAATGTAATCACAAAAAAATTTAATCAGCTTGGACGTAATAGGTAAAAAAAGTACAGAGCTTCAAGCAGCTTTTTTTGTCCATCACATTTTTGGTATAGACCAACAAAGAACCGAGACGACCAAGACGTGCAGCACTAGCTAGAGAATTTTTTATTGTTGCAGCTCGCATCAGTAACGAAAATCTGGACGACCCGCACATTTAGAATGTTCCAGGCAAAAATAAGGATGGAAATCAGGCTGGAAAGCATTACAAGTTGTCACGGGCACTTATTTAGCCAGCCTGCCTGTGAATGTCGATTTCGTCACTATTCTTGCCCTGGACTAGCAACGTAATCACAAAGTCACTAAACGCTTGTGCTTGATTGAGAGGCACTGCATTCGGCACAGAACATAGTTTTCTTCTTGCTCCCTACAGTGCCTTTAAAATAAAGCCGGAGGAGAAAAAGAAAAAAGCCCCATGGCCGAATAAAGGATGGAGACTATATTATACAACCACATGCATAAAAACAAGAATTATCGTGACAATAAATTTGAGGGATGTATTTTCGCCCACAAAGTTGTATTTAATTACAATTGTATTTGAAATACCCATGTTTTAGTATTTAAATACACACGTCAAATACTTTACCCAATTTGTTATTAGATACAAATGCAAAATACACAAAGTATTTGAAATACATATTTCAAATACTTGTATTTGAAGTACTGCCCATCCCTGCCTAACTGTATGCTCTTGTTTGGTTAGGTTTGTATTGTTGTCTGTACTGACTTGGTTTCACCTGTTCTTGGGACGGTCCCAGACCTGGCTCTTCGGCTACGAGTTGACGGACACCATCATGGTGCTCTGCGAGAACGCCATCTACTTTCTGGCGAGCAAGAAGAAAGTAGAGTTCCTCAAGCAGGTGGAGTCTGGCAAGGAGAATGAGGGCCAGGTGCCGCCGATCACCCTGCTTGTAAGGGACAAGGTATGTGTGACCCTCTTGGCTTGGCTTCCGTTGGAACTTGGCCCCTTCTGAACAAGGTTTTCGGCAATCATTTCTTGGAGGACATGTTGTGATATGTTGGTTCTGGGAACTGGTTGCAATTATAGGAGTGTTCATGCTCAGTTCAAAATTGTTCACTTTTGAATATGTGCCATCCATCTCAGCTTGGCTGTGATTCCTCATTTGTAGCTCATCCTTCACCATTCTATGGCTAGAAAAAGTTTATTCATATTTATAGCTTCCAGGATGCAGCTGCCTTTAAAGTTAAATGTAATCTGGTCGTTACCATTATCTGGGAGGAAAATTACAATATCTGAGGAAAGAAAGAGTTGTTGACACGGCGTTGATACTTGGCGTCTTTCAGGCTGACAAGGATCAGGCCAACTTTGAGAAGCTTACTGATGCCATCAAGAAGAGCAAGAATGTAAGCCTTCCTTTATGATTTTTGACACCGTGGAACAAGGGCGAAAACTAGAATTTTGTTGGATGTTTTTGTTTCATATTTGTCGATGGAACTCTTAAGTGTATGTTTACATACTTTATTGTACTCATGCCATGCAGTGTGTCCCATGTGACAAACCTTACCGTTCTGGTTCTGACATAAGAGTCAAAAATGCTTTCGGTTCCAGTGTGTATAGAACTAGTGGCATGTCTATAACAGCCTAAGCCCTTTAATAGGCTGTCTGCCACTAGGGCAAACCTGTGTACTACATTTATGTAATCTTCTTGATAGAGCATGATGAGTGGCAGTCGAAACACTGTCTTGGTTTGAGTGTTTTTGATGTTTCAAAGTTGAATGCCAGGCTGTTGGGAAGCTTCGCTAATCTCTCTAACCGAGAATTGGTCTATGACTGTTATCATTGAAGTGTAGCGCTCACCATGCTTCTTCATTAAAGAGATATATATGAAAAAGTCGTGAATTGGCAACAGTTTTGGTTGTATGTGTTACCTAATTTTATAAAAAAACATTAAAGTGCTGGACTAAACCTTTGGAGAAGAATGCTTGGCATGACTTGGTGTACTGGAAAACACATTTGCTGCATTAACAACTAGAGTCCAGAACTTGGCAGCCCCATACTCAATAACCACATTGTGATGACATTCTGGCAACCTTACATAGATATTTTGTGAAGTAGTCTGGCAATACCATTAATTGTGTGTAAACTTGTTTTTTGGGCTGTTGCATCACAGTACTGATTTCCCATTGTGTACTTCATGCTTGTTTGCACCAATGAGTGTAGGCTGTCTTGTTTTGCCTGTGAAGCATGAAAAGGTACTGAACTCAAAGGTCAATTCAGCTTGGCCAAGAAAATCTGTCTGGGGCAGGATGTGGCAGTCATATCATTATAGCCCCATTGGTATATGCTTTATCATGTGCTGGCTAAAAATCCTAAAGATAGAGCCCCTGGCGGCCATGGCTGTGTGCGCGCGACTGCTGAGCGCGTGCTGATGGCGAGCTTCTACAGTATTTTGTTACGTGCATCCACACCATCAAGATTGTCGGTCTTGGCAACCTATTAATGCGAGCTCGTTCTGTGCATGTGCACTAAACAGCACCCACAAATATGGCGTCCAGTGAATACTCTCTATAAACAGGGAGCTTGTTCAGTATGTGTGTCTATGCTGGCTCGCACAGCTAAGTTTGGCAAGTGATGTTGCAGGGCAAGACTGTGGGGGAGTTCAGCAAGGACAAGTTTCCCGGGGAGTTCATGGACGCCTGGCGGTCTGTCATCTCCGCCGAAAAATTTGACTCTGTAGGTTCAAAGGTTCCTGTCCGATTAGCGTTTTTTTAGTGCCAGGACATCCCTTGGATGCTGGCTGCATGTGATGGAGGGTCCCCGTAGGCACAAGCCCCCGCTCATTCTCTCAGGTGGACGTGAGTGCCGCTGTCGCCTATGTGATGGCCCCCAAGGAAGAGCAGGAGCTGGTGCTCACCAAGAAGGCCTGCCAGGTGACAGTGGACGTGTACGCCAAGTACCTGCGTGACCAGATCATGGAGATCATAGACGCCGATAAGGTGAGCTCCCGCCGCCCGCCACTCTGCTGCAACACTTTTGGCCAGTAGGTTCAGGGCTGCCACCTAACTTTAATTATTTAGGGTGGCAGGAATGTAATGCCCTAAGTTTTGATGGAGTTAGTGAAACTGTTATAGACATGCGCATTACAGGACCATTCTCACCAGCTTGTTTGTTCTGTCTAAATCGTGGGTCCTCAAACTAGACTCCTAAGAACCCAGGGGTTCCCCAGAGTACCCTCAGGTGTTCCACAAGCTCCCAAATTTCCTCGACCGTCCCTGTCCCTAGCTAAAATGTTTCTTTATAGAGCTGCTCAGTAATGTATATAGCTCAGAGCCATACACTCCCTAGCAGCTGTGTTCCTGCTTACAAGGACCTGTAGGCTTCTGCATTGCTTCGCTGCATCAGTGCCGAATCCGGGAAGGGTTCCTTGGCTGTCTATCAAGGCAGATAGTGGTTCTTCGAGATTTAAACGTTTAAGAAGCCCCGGTTTAAATAAAACCGACCGTGCTAGGTGACACTTTTTTTTAGAGGGAAATCACTAGAACTCACAAGAATCTGGGGTTCCAGTTTGTACAATTGCGAGTGACCCTGACCACGCAATCTGGACGGCTGTGTTAGGTGTGTACAGACCATCATGGAGGCAGGGAGCTTCGACCTGAGGCCACCAGAGGTGCGGGCCACAAAGATGACCAAAACAGCTATTGGCGCCAAGTCAACTCTCCTTTTCGTCCAATAACGTCTCTTGATTTTGGTCATCGTTGGGGGCGTGCCCCTCCATACTTCTGGCTTCACCTCTGGTGGCCTCTTGTTGCCTCCAGAAGCTTACTGCCTCCATGGAGCATTGACTGGTAGTGGCACATCTGGATCTCCCGCAGAAAGTGAAGCATTCCAAGCTGGCTGAAGGCGTCGACCAGGCCTTCTCGGACAAGAAGTACTTGGTGGGCGTAGATCCGTCCCAAGTAGACTCGTGCTTTCCGGCCATCATTCAGTCCGGTGGAAATTACAACCTGAAGTTCAGCGTGGTCAGGTAACGATTGTTCTTTCTGCTGATTGGGCAATTAGCATTGCTTTGTTTCTGTGCTTTGGACCGAGTGGCCCCGTTATTTCTTGTAATGTGAAAGTGATGTTTGCATTATTCTAACCTAGGGTTATGCAGCGATCGTGAATCCAGTGGCACGTCCCCTTTCACTGACTGGATGGATGTCTCTTGCAGCGACAAGAACACTCTCCACTTTGGCGCCATCACGTGTGCTCTAGGAGCTCGCTACAAATCATACTGCTCCAATGTGGTGCGTACGCTCTTGGTAAATCCGACGCAAGAGCAGCAGGACCTCTACAACTTTCTGGTGGAGCTTGAAGAAGAGGTTGTCTTAGACAAGCTCAGGGATGGTGTCAAGCTCTGCGACGTCTTTGCAGCAGCTGTGGCCCGTGTTGCCAAGGACCACAGCGAGCTTACAGACAAGATGACCAAGAACGTCGGGTATGTTTCGAACCATTGCTTTGCTCTTGTGGGAATTCTGCTTAGTATTATTTGATCTGTTTATTATGCTGGTTATGGCAAGCATTTATCTTTGCGACGTAAAAGCAAAGGGAAATCAATGAGAGCAGCAAATCAACAGTCCAATACAAACTTCATGCCGCCATGTTGGGTATGTTAGAGTGAGAGATGGCATTAGTGTATGGCTAAACTAGGCTGGAACGATTGTTGCTCTTGGAAGGTTGGTTTTAGACAGATTGTACACAACTAGATGGATTTGCAGAGCCACGCTAGAAAGGTCATTATTGTTCTGAATTACCAAAAGCCCACTGTAGCTTGGTCTTTCCAGTTTTGCCACCGGCATCGAATTTCGAGAAAGCTCCCTGGTCATCCAGTCGAAAACGACGGCCGTTGCCAGGAAAGGTCAGTGGTACGAGCGCAGTGACCCTGACAAAGGGATAAGCAATATAAATACTAATTTTTTGCTGTATTCCCTCTTTTCAATTTGGTCAGGCATGGTGTTCAACATTAACATTGGCTTCTCGGGACTTCAGTGCAAGGGTGCAACCGACGAAAATGCCAAGACTTATGCCCTCTTTGTTGGTGACACAGTCCTAGTCAATGAGGTGGGTCACTTTGCCGCACTTGGTTTCAATCTCTATGTGACTTCATACGCTTGGAACCTCGCAGCTAAGCTCATTGAGGCCGGCATTGTAACATAATTCACCGTCTTGGTAAGAGTTGGTAGTATGAGGATGTCACCTTATTTCGTGCCTCAGTAGTCATTTATAGTGTGTTTATTTGTCTTATAAAAATTAAAGTAATCCAGGAGTGTGCAAGGATTCTTTGATAAGGGGCGGTAGTGAGCTTGTATGCAAAAAGATGCCAGTGAATCATAGGCATAGACTTTGGGGGGGGGCATCGGGGCTTGTGGGGCCCGGGCCGTGATCCTCACCGAGACGCTGTTTACGTGCCATGTAATGAGCTTCTATAGTAGTGGCATGTAAACAAAATAACGTCCTCGTTGCCTTTATTGACAAAATACTTGGGAAATGGGATCCCAGCATGCTTTCGTTAGCTTCAATCTCCAGTTATAGCAAAAAGGTAACATGCCCCCCCCCCCCCCCCCCCCCCCCCGGAGAACTTCTCAGCGTGCCCCCCTCGGAAAAATGGAAAGTCTATGCCGCTGCAGTGAATAGTGGTGTCCTGGCTACGCTCAAGAAACTCTCGAAAGAAAAAAATAAAGGAACTCTTCCGAGATGATTTCTATCGTGCCAAAACGGTCCGCACTTCGCATTGGCAGGACTACCTTTTCATTCCTTTAGTGATTATTATGAGCGTTTTTTAAGTTTCAGATGGTTATTGAAATGCTTTGAAACTTGGTGGGAACTGTGTTAAAGGCTGGCATACTTTGCATTTTTTCCGCTTTAGCTTGCATGTTCTTTTCTTTAGCCTTCTGCCCCAAGGGTTAGATCTCTTTCAGTAAGAAATCACTTGAAGGCGTGTCCAGTGATAGAAGTGCTGCGCCAGTTGCATCATGAAAGTCTGCTACATCTTGCTCCAAAATGCCACTTTTGCTAAGAATTGCGCCAAACCTGCGCTGAGATGGGCTTAAAGCAAAAAAATATTTAATTTTGGTTGATCCTAGTATTCAAAGAAGTAGAAGGAAAGAAAAATTTTACACATGAATTTCACAGCCTTCAGTGATGTGATTGCTGCGCCAAACTGCGCCAAGGGGCTAACCCTGCTACATCCTGCTACATTTTGCAATCATTCATCCGGCCCCCCCTCCCCCCTTGCGTGGTTTTTCCTGCCGTATCTCGTTTCGCGCTCTCATTTTCTCGCGTCTTTTTAAAAAAGAAAAAATTCAACGATAGGCGCAGGCGTGTGCAGACGCTCCGACGGTAGCCTGCTGGGTACTAGCCATGCCGTCATGCTACGAAACGAAACCACGTATTTGTGCGGCAGGAGTTGCTTTGTGAGCTGAAGCACTCGCTCTTCAAATAAACGGTCGTGGAAAAACTATAGGAACCGTGCGCATCTAATTCAAGCCCCGACCAGGGCGCCTCTAGCGGCAAACGGGTCCATTGCATTGGGGAGCTTCTGCCAGTCGCTGCGTTGGTTGTGCGCTGAAGTGGGTTAGCGCTGTAATTTCTGAGATGGCTATTCCGCACCAAGAAAGCCGCAACAATTGCTGCGTGGTCGGCTGCAACAGTACGTCGAAGATCGCGCACGGCACGTGGTACTACATCGTCCCTTCGAAGCCGTACGAGGCGGAGTACTGCGCAATCTGGGTGTGTCTTGTGCGTCCATACAGGTTAGTGGCGTTTCTTACCTTCCAGTTCGCGCTTTGTTTAAGCTGCTGACAAATAATATAATTAACTTTTTTTCTATTCTGGCGACGATGGAACAGCATTGACACCGACGGCAAACTCTAAAATATGCAGCAAATACTTCACCGGAATCGAGAAGCGGAATGCGGTCGCCCACCTAAGCCTACCCTTGGATGTTTCCATCAGCCTACGGTAGGAATTGCGGAACGGCGTGAAAGAAATCGCCCAGTTATTGTCCAAGCTGATTCAGAAATAAATGTACATAATTACCACAGTCCACTCAACGCCCACTACATGTTTTGCGGGCGCGCTTAATTTTGTTAGCGGAGTATGGCGCTCCGTGACATCCACTTGTCCGTCGAAATGGACCTCCTTCACGTCGTACACGCGGCCAGATTCACAAAGGAGTTTTCCCTTCTTCATATTGGTACCACGGAAGAAGCAATCTGGATTCATAACCGCCTTAAACCCCGTCGTAATCACGCAGGGAACACTGTCCGCTGTGCTGCTCATCGCCATTGCTTCCCCCCGATGATTCTGCACCGGCTACCGAAGAAGCTTTCCGGATTCGTAATCGCCCACTGTCCTCTGTGGTGATCGTTGCTATTACTTCCCGATGATTCTGCGCCGACGGCACTGGCTACCGAAGGAACTTTCCGAATTCGTAACTGCCTTAAATTCCTTTGTAATCACGACGGGGACACTGCCCGCCGTGCTGTTCGTCGCCATTGCTCCCCGATGCTCCTGCGGCGGCTACCGCTAGGTCGCGGCGAACAATAGGCGACCGCCGCGACACGGCTGGCTTGCTCGCTTCCTATATTTGGTCCCTGCCTGCCAGTCACCGTGGTCGCACGACGTCGGGTGTTGCCATCCCCACGTCGTTGCAGATATGGTGCTTTCTAAACTGAAACGTAAGGACCGTTGCACGTTCATCAGCATTCCTGTTCTTGTTTAATACGCTACTACAAAAATCCCTCTAGCTCAAAGACTGCTGTGTCGAAGTATTGATTACCGAGGTTTCTCTCGGAAGGCCTTCTTTTGAGAGGGGCCCCGGTACGTGAAAAATCTGCTACGAAATAAGGTTGGTTAAGAGAAGTGAGCTAAAGCAAAGAAGGCAATGTCTGCACGCTGAACCCGCACAGTGCACTTGTTTGTCTGGAGTTCAGTCTTTGCACAAAGCGCTCCAAGAGCTTTTTGACCCTGGCTCGCAATGTCTTGCATCGATGTGCTTAGGTTATTTTTTTTTTTGTGTGTGTGTGTTTAGCTTGTACCTCGCCTGCCGCCCTGGCAAGCACGTGCCGCTGGACTGTTTTTGTCCTATGCTGGACACTTACATGTTGCATACACTTTTGGGAACCAGTTGGCGACCGAGCGGAGTGGCATGGTTTCGATCAAACAGCCATCTCCAGTCACGCGACAATTTCGCATTGCACTGCAGTATTTACGTGTTTCATAAGTCGGGAGACTGCTTCCATTTATTATATACCTAGTCAACCTAATGCTGTGCTATTTACTGCTAAGCTGGCCATTTTCAAATAAATTTGAATATGTGCAGTTTGGTTCTTATATATCTCTGGCGGGTACATAATTATATATATATATATATATATATATATATCATTTAACTGGAGCATTGCAAAATATGTCATGTCATTGGCATTTTAGTTACATGTTGAAAGACTCCCAGGTGGTCTAACTTGACTGTAATTTGTTTATTGTGGCGAGAAAAGTGTGTTTGTCCATCACCTGAAACAAATATTTTTATTTTTCTAAGGATATCTGCTCCAAAGGCCACTTTTGCTGCTCCAAAACAGCTTAGGCCAATCACATCACTGAGCGTCTCTACTCACCATATAATTTGTTTCGTCTTGGGTCGGAGCACAGTCGAAGGCTCGAACACATACAACCACAAACTTTCTAAAAGCACAAGTCATGGGACATTCATTGCACTTGATTGGTTTAGCCGATGCCAGAACATGTACAAGGAGATGACAAATGCCATGATGTCGTGCTTTGATAATACAAATCAACCGGCCAGAGCCGTTGATGCTGGGCATCGACTTCTCTGGCTGGTTGATCGCCGACATCGTCTGAATTTCCAGACAATGTCGTTGATGTCGGGAACCAAGAGTCTCGAGAAAACTTTTCAAAACCGTAGGATTGCCGATTGCAGCTAATGTGATAAAACAGAACCAGGGTCTTGTATTCCTGATAAGATCACTTGATTATCATGTATGCCACATGCCTTCTTTCCGTGGCTGCAGAGTAGCGTTCTTGCGCCGCTCACATCAACCTTTGCCTCTCGCCAGCGTGGGGAGCGCCTGGCTTCACCGCTCTATACCGGAGCGCTACCTGGGGGAGCGCCTGGCTTAGCGCGATAGGCGCCAAATTATGCTCAGGATTATTACAGGTCGACCTTTGTCCAATTGTAAGTTAATCTTTAATTTAAAAAAAAGAAATGAGCAGAGAAAGAGATAAGAAAATACGGGTGCATATATTTTTGAATAAATACTGTAGTCAGTGTAGTTCCCGTGCAGCTGTTGATCGCAAGAGCAGCAAACTTTGATGCAACGCTCTTTTCTACGCCGCTAAAGAGCAGCGTTACCTTCGAAGCACAAGTGTAGGCTTTTATATTAGTTTTGGGTGCTTGTTTTTGCAGTTTATGATATTGGTATCTTGAGTTTGGTGGGTTCAATAAACTTATGGGGCACATTTTTCTTGGTAGATGTGTTAGCGGGTAGGCTGACTCTTGCTGAAAGTTTACAGAAATTATATTTACATTTTAAACAAACCACCGAGTGTAAAATGGAGAAGAGAGAAGATTGATCCCAATGAATTGTTGCGCTATGATTCACTTTTTAACCATTTTTTAATAGCCATTGTAAATGAAATTTACTCTGACTAAAGCCGTATTTAAGAAGATTGTGTTCCTTTGACACCCTATCTATCCTCATCACAAATGGTAATAAATAATATGCTCGAGTATCAAAGAGGAACCCTTGATCACTATCATAAATTCACTCATTTAGAGATGCAATCGCTTTTTCATTCTCCAGTGATGTGCTAACAGATGTTGGCATCTGCTCCAAAAGTGTCAGTTGTTGCTCCAAACCAATATTTTGCCTGCTACAGAACCTTCTACAAAAGGTCAAATGCCACTTCCATCACTGCATGTTCTTTTATTAAGCCTTTTTTTTTCACTCTGCCACTCTTGCAGCTTGGGGAGAACACTACATATTTAAATACATAGAATGAGGTTTTAAATTGTTTCTTAAACCTAAAACAGGTCTATAAAAAGTTGAGGCATATCCACCATAAAGCTTTGCTCCGTTATTGCCTTATTCATTTTTTTTTTGTTTTGTTTTCTTAAGCGTACCAGTTTCACTTGCAAAAGCAACTGGTGTCTGTTTTTTCAGGGCCAGCCTGCAACCATCCTGACCAACAGCAAAAAGAAGCTGAAGAGCATTGCTATCTTTATCAAGGTGAGGCTCTCCGATCGCGTCATTGCATTGGTTGGGATGATGATCTCGTGCCCCGTTTGTGCAGGATGATGACGATGAAGAAGAGGAGGAAGAGGAGGAGGAGACGAAGGAGAGCAAGAAGAAGCAGAGTGATCAGATACTTGGGCGTGGGGGACGACGAACAGCCATTTTGGACTCCAAGCTCAGGGTGAGTACGTCCAGACGCCCTTCAAATGCTTCTCCTCAGTGCGGGAAAGCACATTATTACGGGTTCCTCGAACTTGCATTTTCATTTTGGATGGAGTGATGCAAAGATGAGAGCATGATTATCCTATTGTGTGTCTTGAATTTGCTGCACGTCAACCGTGGTACCTCATTTTTTTTTTTTTTTTTTTTTAAAGGGTGTATATGTGTAAAGGGTAATTCCAGTCAATATTTTTTTTTTAAATTTGGGATTACAACTGTTCTCAGCTAAAGCAATGTCCCTGAATTACAAGGTGTATTTTTTTCTCGATATTGTCGGTAGTTTTTTTAAAATATTACGGCTCAAAGTTTGGTTTTGGGCGTCTATGGCAAAGCCGAAACTTCTGCTAGAGGGATGGCAACACTGATCGTCAGCTCCGTGGCATGACAAGTGTGCTGCGGTATGCGGTACAACCAGTGAACCGCAGCTCCACCGCGACATGACGTCACGAGGGTGCTGAGCCAGTGTTCCTTGACTAAAAGCTAACCCGCTTGTCGTCCACTAAAGAGCAGCTGGTCGCATCTTTAAAATCGGTTTTAGTGGAGTACGCAGCTTCACTTGAGCATAATATTTCGGCTGGGATCATATTTCGTGCCACTAAAGCGATACCTGGCATTTATTTTGTTTTCGTTTTCGATGGCGGCAAAGGTTTTAGTCTTTGCCGCCCGCCCTCTGAGATTTTGGTGAAAAACAGTGTTTGCACCCTTCACTCTTTTTGAATGGAGCAATAATTACGCTGCCAGATAGGCTCACTCTGTGGGAATATAATCTATCGTTTGGCAAGATAGCATGTCTCGTGGAGATGGCACCACATGATAGCTGTCCTCTGTACTGCGTAGGTTTTGGTGCGGCTGTTTGACCTTGAGGTTTTGCTATTTATGTGGTATAACACACTAGCATTATTTCACTCCTATCGGTGGAACCGATTTTGGAGCTGATAAATAATGATTTTTCCTGCCTATTCACATGAGTCAATAGCGATTCCTCACTGGTGCTGCTGGGGTGGCTGCTGCTCTATCAGAGTGCGTTATTTTGCCTTGGTCGGTTTCATGGAAACAATCGTAGCTCCTTTTAACCCAACTCTGAGGACCTCAAAAAAATTTTTACTTACCTTTGTTATAAGATCAGAGAAGTGCAAGCTGAGGCTATGCGTTATGCGAAAAAAAGAAAAATATATAGCACGAGCACTGAGGAAGGGGTCCTGGAATGGCACATTTCAGACGGAACAGTCGGCGGAAGAAAAACGTCAACAGAACCAAAAGTTGCTGGCTGAACGGCTGAACCAGGCGGCCAAGGACAGGCTGGCGTCGCAGCGTGGTGTGCAGAAGGATGAGAAGTGAGTCATCTCTTTTGCCCTAGCCTTTACACCTGCCAGAGTGTCCAGGAGCTTTTTCTTTACCTTGTTAAGCCAAATTGTGCCAAAATCGGCAGCGTGCTGTTTCATTTGAGAGGTGTAGATTTGTGTACAATGGCAGTTGCCCGATGGTGCTAAGTACTTTGAAATTTAAGACTCCATCCAAAGGTTAACTTCTGAATTAGCCCTTGTAGGTTTTCTTCTGCGAATTTCTGGTATGTTATGCAATTCGTTTCATGCTTGTCCATTTTCTGCTAGGGTTCGGAAATCGACTGTCTCATACAAGTCTGTGAACCAACTTCCCAAGGAGCCCGAAGTGAAAGAGCTCAAGGTCTTTGTTGGTAAGTAGCAGTCTGGGGGGCAGAGAGCTTGGCAGTAAAGGGGTGTTGTCATTTCAACTCCTGTCAAAATTTTGTTACGCCATGAACTATGGTTTTGCTTTTTTCAGACAAGAAATATGAAACTGTGATCCTGCCAATATTTGGAATACCGGTGCCCTACCACATCTCCACTGTGAAGGTATGACCAATCTTTGTATGGCTGTGGTTGAAGGAGCCTGATTGTCTAGGGCAATTATGGGGGTCTTAAAATTGCATCTATGAGTAGAAATGTGTGAATAATATTTGAAACTCCATGTGGAGAAAGGGTGGCACAGAAATAAAACATTGGGGTTAGGCGTGCAACATGTACTGCAACTCGTGTCTTCAAACAAGGCGAGCAACCCTCGTGGAATCAACCGTGCATTAACGGCAAATAATTTGTGAATACACTTTCTTCTTCAATTTGATTTGCAGCGCACTTTTATTATCCCAAGTATTCAAGTTTTTCAAATATTCAGAAATTACAAATAATAATTGCGAATTTCTCACATCAAGCTTCACCACTTCACACCAACCCGCATTCGTAAAGCTTCACTTCATACCTACGTGTTTGAATCCCTAACTTTGAAGGATGTTGCTGGAAGACACAAACAAGGTAAAATCAGCTTAATTAACATAGTAAGGTAGTCATCGCTTTTATATTTTTAATGCGCATAAAAGTAGTTTATTCAGCGTTTAAAGAGGCTCAAGGATGTTTTCAGGCCCCCTTGGTAACATACACCTTCCCTATAGTGTAATTACACTGTACCATTGCTCACTGCTAGAAGAAGTGGAGTATTGAATATGGTGAAAACTGAAATAATGAAATAGTCAAAAGGGAGGGAAGGCAGATTCAACTCTTGAAAGTGCTGCGAGTCTGCCTTCCATCCCCTTGAATATTTTTTCTTTCAGTTTCTACTACTCCAACCAAGTTACTCGCTACCTAATTTACAGCTGGCTTCTACTACAAAATAATTCGTCACACAGCTCCCCAGAAAGAATGTTCAGATGTCAGCTCACATGTGTTCGGTCTTTGCCCTTTGCAGAACATTTCACAGTCAGTGGAAGGGGACTACACCTACCTGCGTATCAACTTCTTCCACCCTGGATCTGCCCTGGGGAGAAATGAAGGCAGCGTCTTTCCCAACCCAGAAGCCACTTTCCTCAAGGAAATGCAAGTACCTTTGTTTCTCAATTCAAGGAAGAGCTGTGGGGGATGGGGTCAGTGTTGTGCATGGAAGCATGAGCAGTTCAGGATTGCAGTTTGCAATTCAACACTAATGATCCCACTTTTTATGAGACTGAACCTGTTGTACAGTCTAAGCTCGTTATAACAAACCTTGATTTTGACCAAGATTTTGGCATGTTGTAAAATGAGTATGTTGTATGCAGATATGAAATTGAGTAAATGGTATGTAGAGGAAAACCAAACTTCACAAATCGGTATGTTATATCCAAATGTCTGTTTTAACCAGGTCTGTTGTAATGAGCTTAGATTGTATTACTTGCTGGTGCTTCTTTTTGCATCCCATAGTAAGTTCATCTCTGACCATGCATAAACATGTTTGCTTTCATGTTTAGGAGTTCAGCTGAGCAGAGCCTTGTCTCATTTTTCCTGAGGGCTGTTATTTGCTTGTCTACTTTAACTGCGTATCTACCAAGTCTCCTGTATTATATGGGGGACTCCCAAATATGTACCATTTCGTACGGAAGTACGATTGACAAAAATCAAACTCCCGGAACACGTGACAAAGCCATACCGCAACGGCATAGTCCACTGGCTTGAATTATCCCGTGCAGAGTCGTTTCCTGTTGGGATTGAACGCAGTTTCTACTTCAAGCTTTGACTTTGCTTCACTATTGTTGACAACGTTGACGGTGGAATCCCATAGTCTTTTGCAAGGTCTACTTGCCTTTGACTCTTGTCCAGACGCTGAGGGATTTTGAGCTTGTCTGATAGAGACAACCGCTTCCGTTTCGTCGTACTCGTTACGAAAGTGGGCGCACAAACTGTCGTCCTGCCGTTGTTACCCAAAACTAAGATGGCCGAACGGAACCGATGACAAAGAAAAAACAGACACACCACGTGGTTTGTCTTCATCTACCGCACCGCCGCTTTGCCTTGGCGGCACTAAACATCAGCGATGATATGCCGCCTTTGCAGAGGTGGCGGCAGTGGGGCGGTGGGCATTGGCTACGCCAGCACTGCAGTGCTCAAAACTTCATTGAACTGATTGCAAAAATAATCCTGGGTCCACCAATCAAGTTTGTTGAATTGAAATGTTCGCTATTCTGAAAATTGTGTTTTGTTTAACTGAAACATTTTCGCATCGAATGCGTAAGAAAACTGCTGGGGATTTTTTTAAAGCTTGTTATTCTGAAATATTCGTTAAACCGACGTTTGCCCAAGTGAGCGTTTACTGTAAAGAGTTTTTGCTGTCACAACAGACGGCAGCGATGATAGCGAGACCCAGCTGTATCTCGCTACCATGAGTAGTGCAATACAAATGTAATGAAGTTGTATTCATGTAAATTTATTGTCAATATTTCTTTTGAAAAGTTTCGGTCAGACAGCCGCTGTCTGTACTCCTGCAGCCAAGCACGTGAACTTCCAAGCCTGCATAACTTTTCTTCACGAGCATGCGAACGTGCTTGCACGACGGGCACGTTGCAATCCATCATTCTACATATGCCTACCTTTGCCCAAAATCCGGCACCACAAAAACAGTGCCAAGTGTTTTTTCAATATCTCTCGGCCAACCCTACAGTATTTGTACACTTGTAAGAAATCGCAGCATTGAAAACGCAAGCGGCGTGTTTTGTCACGACACAATGATCATAACAAAATCTGGAACTGAAACCAAAACTAAGTGGCCAACTGGTACCCATAATTCATTTCGTGCCAACGTGCCACCAGGGGCGCTTTGATTCGGGAAAAGACCTTTTGTAACCCTGTGGTTGTCTTTTTTACTTTTTCAGTACTTACCGTAGCACCAATGTAAAAGAGCCAGGGGAAATTTCTGCTCCATCGTCCAACCTGAACACTGCATTTCGTCTCATCAAGGAAGTGCAGAAGAAATTCAAAACCAGGGAGGCTGAGGAACGGGAAAAAGAAGTGTGTGGTGCCACTTGTTTTCATAGAATAGGCTTGAAAGGGTGCTTATTTCTTGTTATAGTATTGTAGTAATTGAGTTGTTTGTTTATGCTCGCACACAATGGTGAGAAGGGTCTAACCAGCTTAACTGCATTCTCATTCATTCTTATGTGCCCATGAGCAGCCTTGTTGCCTTCATAGTACTACATTCTTCTCTCATCATGTGTTTGCAATTATTGCCTAACTATGGTTGCTGCCTTATCATGCTTCTTTAAGTTTCTAGGGCCTGGCTGGTGAGCCAAGTTAGTAGTTGTAACTTGGGTTAAATACTTTTTCATGTAGAAGTAGTAGTAGTAATATTGGTATTTGAGTGTCGGTTCCATTTTTTTAAGCAGTCTAGTAGTAATAGTGGTATTTGAGTGTCGGTTCCATTTTTTTAAGCAGTCTTGCCACAAACCCATTAAACAAGCTGCTGTGTTGCATTATCCTTTGTGCAGGGCATAGTGAAGCAAGACACGCTTGTCCTAAGCTCCAACAAGGGCAACCCAAAGCTCAAAGATCTCTACATTCGACCCAACATCTACTCCAAGCGTATTTCAGGAGTCCTAGAAGCCCACACGAATGGTGAGTGACCCTATAACCTCTTCCTTCTGTTGTATCTGTGGCATTGTATGACGCAAAGTCATTCAAAGGTTCCCTCTAGAGTCTAGACTTGCCTAGCATTGACTAAGCTGCTGCTTTTTCTTTTTGCTTGCTTGCTGCTTACAAATTGTCATTTGCTTGTTCTGAAATGTTACTGGAGCTACTCAAATCTGAGATGCTCTTTTCTATGAACTTACACTTCTGCTTCCCTCTTGTCTGGCAACGATGCAGGCTTCAGGTTCACCTCTGTGCGAGGTGACAAAGTGGACATCCTGTACAACAACATGAAACATGCATTCTTCCAGCCATGCGATGGGGAGATGATCATCTTGCTCCACTTCACCCTTAGAGTGAGCTGCATTTCTGACACTGCTTGGGCTTTTCTTATTCCTATATTTGTATAGCTTTGCTTTGTTGCCTTCTGTGTCATCCTTATTGTACTGAGCCTTGTTTCTCTATGTTTTGTGTGTTCTTGTCCTGCGATCCCCATCGATATTGCCTGTCTTGGTGCAGAATGCCATCATGTTTGGCAAGAAGAAGCACAATGACGTGCAGTTTTACACGGAGGTGGGAGAGATTACCACCGACCTCGGGAAGCATCAGCACATGCATGACAGGGACGACCTGGCTGCTGAGCAAGTAAGCAGGACTCCTTTCTCTGTTTGCTTTATCATCCACGGTCAGTGAAAGGGAAGCGGTTAATGTGTGCCTCTTGCTGGGAGTAGTGGCCATTTGCAGTGTGTGATGGAAGTTGTTTACGGCTGCTCTGTCTAGAAAAGTGGACTGCCGAACTTAGTACCTTTTGCCTCATCGTCATTTATGCTCTAGCGGGGTGCAGTTTTAGATTCAAAAGTATATACACATTTTGAATGTCAACTGAATCTACTATTCCCACTATTTATATTTACCAATAGTGCTTTGCCGAATTTCTAAGAGGTGCAGCATTCATCACGGTTCAATTTTGCTTAAAAGTTATATTCTTACTTTTAGGCAAAAGTAGCGAATGGCTGTCCCGAGCCATTTGCATAGTGCATGGTAGTTTCAAAAACTCCGTCACAGGAGTTTTTGAAACCTCTGCTCTCGTGCATCTTCAGTGCCAATCAAAGCTATGCACATGCACTCTTGCTATCTTCAAAAAGGTCCGAAAGAGACGTCACGGCTGGTTTCAGTGCTGGGGAATATTCCTGGCAAGCTTGCAATAGACCCTTTTAGCAATGGCGCTCCATCTAGCGGCGCCGATTCCAAACTACGCACACTCACTGGGAGTGGTCACGTGCGCCGCTTCGGCAGGGCCGCCGCCGCCATTATGGGGTATACGGTTGCAGGGGCCAGTACTCTGCAGCACCCGCATAGCGCCTTTCCAGATGTGTTTTTATTGCTGTGCGGCACTGTGTAAGCAGAAAGGCGTGAAGGATAGCCTCCCAAACAGGGCAAGATTTACTGTTTTTCTGCAAAAATACAGCTGTCAACAAAAAGTGCATCAATATAAACTACAAGCCGTTAAGTGCGCACTCCCTACACTCAAACTGGATTAAGTCAGGATATGTGTGCATGCATGAGGATTTATTGCGACAGCTTGCGCAGCAAAAAGAACTATCATAGCTACGAGCACACGCACATGGCTCTCCCCAAAGAATACCTTATTCAGTCGTGGTACATGAGCTATTCTGAAATTCGTGTACTGTCTTCTTCCAGGTGTCCCATTGTTTCCCCTCTTGAGTTATCTGTTGTTCAAAGCAACTGAGAAATCATTATAAATTGTGAAGGGGGAAACATAATGTGAAATATACGAGGTTATAGGCTGAAGCAGCTCAGCCAGGCTGGCTATCTCTGGAGCGTTGCTGGTAGCCGCCGCTTCTAGATGCAACAAGTTGTTCCATGTACACTGTAATCGACTTTAGTTTCGCAATTTCTGTTCTTATGAAATATTGTGAAAAATAAATCGCGCAAATAAATTACCCTACAGAATGGAATACTAAGCGTACCCCTCCAAATTGCAAAATATTGTGCCCGCCAAATTTTCTCGAAACCCACGCTTCGTAAAATTTGCGAAATATAGAGGCTGAAAAAATAGTTGACAGCATTTGCCTTCAACATTGCCGAAAGGACTAAGGGGAGAGAGCGTCGTGTCAAAGACTGTCCTTGCCGCCGAAGCTGAAGACGCGATGAGGGCCGCGATCGTGCAAATGTCGGCAGCGGTGGCAAGCAACTCAATCGTCGATGTGAACCACATCAACAACGAAGACGCGACAAGCGACTCCATTGCCAATGTGGACAGCGTCGCCAACCAAAATGCGACAGCCTACTCAATCGCCGATGTAAGAACGAAGCCTCGAAGATAAAGTCGCCGTTTTGTGCAAAGGTGCCTTCACGTAACTTTCAGTCACAAACTTGGAACTGCGCCTTCCGTTTAGGTCGCCCATGTTGTGGGCGACGTAGTTGTCATTTACTTTATCTGTAGTATACCAATTTGGAATGTCAAGCAAGCTCCTGGGGCCCACGATAGCGAATCAGGACCAGCTGCGGTGGTGCTCGTGATCGCGGGCGCATACCCCATAATTCAGGCTCCGTGTTTTCGGATAAATCCGAAAAACGCTCGCCGGTAAAATTTTTGACAATTCGGATTTATCCGATAAACTCAGATTTTAGAGGTCATGGTGGCAAAAAGTGATGGTGGAAGTTCGGGACTATAAAATGTCCGATAGATAGGTGCAAACGGCCAGCGGTCCCGACGAAGGGCTACTTTGCCCTCTTTCAAGACGAACACAATTGACAAAAGGAGGATTATCTCCCCTGTTTTCGCTGAGGACAAGGGGTCAATGTAGTTCCGGATCAAAGAAGGCAATCTAAGCACCCGTCAGTGCTAGTCATTGTTCCGGTTTCTGGTTTAGACCATACCATTTTTTTTTCTAGAAAGAAAAATGGTATGGTCTAATGGAAAATGGGTTCGCTATTTTTTTTTTTTTTTTTTTAAAGTTCCGAAATTAAACTTTGAATTTGGGAGAATGGGGGATTTACGATAAATAAACTTCGACAAACACCGAATTTTTGCTAAAAAGTTAACTCCAAAAAACACCCTCCGAATTTCACGAAAAATAAACTCTGAAAACACGGAGCCGTACCGATAATGGCAAAGCATTGCCCGATCATAGTGGCCAGCTGCACTTATGAGCGCCGTCAAAGCAGCGGCTCATTGTTGCCAAGAGCAATTTCATAAAGGGTCTATTGTATGCGCTGCCCACACGAGCAAAACACGCTTGGCGGCCGAAAGATACTTTTATGACGTAATGACTGGTCGGCAGTTTTTCATGTTTAATTACATCTTTGGGAAAAACGAACGTGATATAGAGGTTCATGGATGAAAATACTCTCAAATTCACCTCTAACTCGTTTTTTTTTTATTTTTCAAGAGCCTCTTTAGCTTCCTTTAAACCCCATGAATTCTGCACTAGATATGAGCACCCAGTAATGGTGTTTTCTTCTTCGGGCCATTGGTGCTACTAAAGCATTGTAAAGCTGCATGTCTATATGAGTTAGTAAACTCTGGATTCATTAAGAAAGCAGTTATTGAACTTTACTTGTAAAGTACTAGTTATACTTGTCAACTGTTTTGTGCAACACTGCATAGCTTTCACAGTGTTGCAAGAGAAAAAGTTTGCTTATGATAGATACAGTCAAGCTCGGTTACATCACACCCGGATATTTTGAATTATTGTTTATATCGAACAGTCCAAACATTCTCTTAAAAATCACATGTAATAGTATAGGAGCGTTGTTTTTCTGTATAGAACTCCCTTGGCGGGGCACTCGATATAGAAAACGAAGGAAGCACTGCCGCCTGTCGCTTATAGCTAGTGTTGCGGGGCTGGCAGACTGCCAAGCCAGCATAGGCACACAAGAATATGCAGCAAAAAAAAGTTGCACACAAGAAAATGCAGCAAAAAAAAGTTGTAAAAAAAAAAAAAAAAGAAATTGGCCGTTAAAAGAAACAAAAACATATAGGATGAAGGTTGGAGAAAGCAAAAGGAAGGGCACGCGCGCGCGCTTAGGGAGGGCACTCTCTGCCCGCTGTTGGAATGGTAGCGAGCGCTCTTTCCCGAACACTGCTGTCGCTGCGCAACTCCTTAGCCCAAAAATAAAATAAGCAAAAAAAAAAAAAAAGTTGAGCTTATCCATTTTGGTGAAGAGGGAAGAGCAGCAGAGCTGGTAGCTTCTGTTCTCGGCGATGGCTTTCCAGGCGAGGGATCTGCTCTTCTTTTGCAAGGAAATCTGAAGCGCTTGACGCAGTGAGACTTCGGGCGATAGCGGCCTCGCTGTGGTTGTGGAACCATTCGCGCTGCTGCGCACATTGTCGCTCGTTCCATTCTCACTCTTCCTCCGAAGAAATGTTGCCGCCATCTATGAGTGACGGCGGCAAGCAGACAACCGGCAAACACAACTTTCTGGACAGCTACCACCATATATGAACGACGGCGGCAACCAGAGTGTTGTGTCGACCACAGGTGTCGACATTTGTTTGGTACCGGACACGATCCTGGGGAAACTAGCCCTTAAAGGCCGACTTACGAAACCATTTTCCGCAGGGTAGGAAAGTGCTCCCCAACGACCTTCGCTCTCTTCCCTCTCGCACTCCTTCCTCCTTCTCCCCCGAAAAGGGCGGGTCCGGAAGGTAGTCTCCGTGGAAAGGAGAAGGGGTTTCCTCCTTTATGGGTGGCAAGGAGGAAACCTCTTCTCCCGCGGGAAATGGTTTTGTAGGTCGGCCTTTAACAGCTCCGCTGTAAAAGTCTTCGTCAAGTTAAGTGTGTCGACAACAGCGGTTGAGCAATCGCACTTTGAACGCCTTATCTTAGTTTACCTTTTCCTTTCGCCGTTATTGCTTTGCCCTTTTTTTTTTTTTTTCTTTTTTGTTGCCTGAATTTAGTAAGCTTTCTTTTTTGTTGCTTGCTTAACTGCATTCTATGGATCAGAAGTTTTTATGCAACTTGCTTTTTCCATTCTTTCATTTTTTTTTTTTTTAATTTGTGTTTTTTCGCAGGCGAGGTTGTGGAGGCGCGTAAACGATCGCAAACATTGTCGCGTGCAATCTTCACCAACTAGGCTCTACTGTATTTAGCGGCTCTTAGAGGCTCTATTTGGTAAGGTCCCGTTTGTCGCGGCCTTCGGCGTTAGCAGAGAAGCATGGAAATTCGAACTGGAGCTTAAGCTATAACATATTTTTGTATCTCTAATTATCAATATGTCTAACTATTTTACAGTCCCCTTTGAATTCAATATATCCGGGTTCGACTGTGGTCTGAATACCTGCACCTTGTGCAGTTGCTTGCATTTTGTTTGTTTTTGACATTGACAGTAATGGTTGCATTTTGAAGTATTAAGTCTGTGGAAGGCAATTACTGGTCTGATTACCAACTTCTCACTTCCCCCTCTTTCTTCAGGCCGAACGTGAGCTGCGTCAAAAGCTGAAGAACGCATTCAAGACGTTCTGCGAGAAGGTGGAGGGTGTAACGAAGTCGGACATTGAATTTGACACACCATTCCGCGACCTGGGTTACCCTGGAGTGCCCTACCGGAGCACGGTGCTTCTGCAGCCCACCTCGGGGTGCCTGGTGAACCTCACCGATTGGGTGAGTGTGCAGTGCGAGCGAGCAGGTGCCTCAACATGGATGCTGAAGTGCCTCATCATTGCCCTTCCCTTTCTCAGCCCCCGTTCATCATCACGTTGGAGGAAGTGGAGCTGGTGCACTTCGAGAGGGTGCAGTTCCACCTCAAAAACTTTGACATGGTGTTTGTGTTCAAAGACTATCACAAGAAGGTGGCAATGGTGAATGCTGTCCCCATGAACATGTTGGACCACGTGAAGGAGTGGCTCAAGTAAGTGCTGCACTCTCAGCCTTACGAGCAGTCTGCCTTGTGCTAACTCCTATCATTTAGTTGGTATGGAGAACTTTGCCAGGCATTTTTCTCATAGGGAAATCTATCAGTAGTATGAGAAGGTTAAAAAAAAAAATTGCCTCTATCTATCGGTAGTATGAGAAGGTTAAAAAAAAAATTGCCTCTATTTCTTTTACAGTGGTAGCTGTTAGGGCCTCTTCCCAACAAAAAATTCTCATGTGCGAATGCAAAACCCCACTCTACTGCAGAGGCACTGTTCTCCCTCTCCCCATCGTTCCTTGCACATGGCAAGGCTCTTTCTCGCTCCCCCTCCCCTCCCCTTGTAGGCCGCTGCTGTTATTGCTCTGGCGACGCTCTTCCTCCCCCTTAAAATACCCATGTGTTTGCACTGTGGAGACATTCTCTCGCCTCCCTACTGCCGCCGCCCAGGTTCCGTTCTCGTATACTCTCTACGCGTCTACACAACAGCTCGTGTACTATATACTTTAGCTTCTTCCAATGCAGGTGCAGTCACGGGTGCCCTCTTCTGAAAGAGTGTTTTAGCGGGGGAAAAAAGCACACTTCAGTGTCCTTTCCAACATGCAACATCTCGCACAATCGTTCCACCAGGGCACGCATCTCCTCACGCACGTCTCCTTCATCAATGCCAATGAAAACAAAAAACCCATTGCAAACATTGTACAGTACACTGACTTAAGGGGAGACACTGCCCAGAAAAAAAAATTTCTGCAAAAAAAGTTGATTTTGAAAAATGACATCTTTACATCCACCAACATCTAGAGAGTATTCCCAAAAAGTTTCATTAATTTTCACTGTATAGTTAATTTTTTATAAATTATTTTCCGTCCGCCAAAGCTATAGAAAAGGTAGGGTTTGGAGCACTTTGAACACATTTTTCTCCGATCCACTTTTTGGTATAAATTCCATTTTAGTCAATCTATCGTTTGATAATGGCAAAACAGGGAAAGCGCATTCTTCCCTTATCCTGACTGAAATTTAATAAGGAGTGCGGCTATGGAACTTTTTTGTCACTTTACGGATGTCTTTTGTAAAAAATGTTGACATTTTGGCGAAGGCACAGAAGACCAAAAAGTTGACCAATTTTGCAAAAGAGAAAATTTATAGAAATGAATTACTTTTTAGAAAAAATGTTCCATAGCCGCACCCTCTAGGCATTCTGCTACATATCTAGCAAATAAAAATCTTTAATATCGCAATAGTTTTCTGACGATAGATTAACTAAACAACGTAGGCGTGTTGCTGATAGAAGCTACTCTTATTTCCTTTTTATTTAACCGACAGACCTGAAATTTTGTCATACACCCTCTAGCATGACCACCAGCCTGCCCTGTAAATTTCGTTAATTTTAAAACAAGGGTTCAAAAGTTGACCCCCCTAGGGGGTGTGCCCCCTTAAGGCAAATCTCCTTCAACATGCCTTTCCACAATGCTGCGACTACCTCTGTCAGTCGCAGCACACTGTGTAGTCGGTTGCATTTTTTGTTTTGTTATTTTGAATGCTGCTAGTTTGAGGATGTACTTAATAGTGGGAGGCAATAATCGGTGGCTAACGCAGCATGTGTAGATTGCCTCAAAACTGTACACCCCAGTGTGGTCTTGATTCGAACGGTGCCAGTCCCGGGCGATGCAAGCTCGGATAGTGACGCAGCTGTGTGCTCAGCCAAGCCGTTAAACCTGCTTCTCCTCTGTGATTCTGTGCAGCTCGTGCGACATTCGCTACACGGAGGGCATCCAAAGCTTGAATTGGACTAAGATCATGAAGACGATCACGGATGACCCGGAGGGATTCTTCGAGAGTGGCGGCTGGTCCTTCTTGGACCCAGACTCTGACGGCGAAAATGCGGACGACGACGACGACGACGAAGAGGATGACCAGTACAACCCGAGCGAGTCCAACTCGGAAGCAGAGTCCGACTCGGAGGAGGAAGAAGACTCGGAGGACTTCTCCGGCTCAGAGTTCACCGAGGACGAGTCAGGCTCTGCAGGTACATATGCTGGGCTCTGCTCTTGGCTGTGGCGTTAAATCTGTGCCCTTTGACTCCTACGCTGGTATTTAGAGTCTATATTCTGGGAGTAGCGATTCAACAGAGAGCGTAGTTCAGCAGTGCGCGACACGGCAGAGCTATTGATCCACTTTCACTGCTTGGCGCCCTGCAATTGTTAGTTTATGCTTGGTGTGTGCAGTTCCAGTTTGCGCCTTGTCTTCTTAATATAGATAGATGTGCTCTCTTGCTATGTGTATTCCCATATCTATTTTTCTGTTTAGGCATTGTCGACTATTGGACAGCTGTGTTTCCTTCCACTCCTGCCATGTCTCCTTATTGGAGAATGTAGTATGTACATATAAAAACAAATTGTGTGCTGCCGTATGATGCTAGTAATCATAGTCCTTCCCAAAATGGTCAATTTTGGGAAGGACCGTCAGAGTGTGACGCAATTGAGATGGTAACACTTTGAGACTTGTCCCAAGTTTGAATGGGGCTGAATGGTTTGGAGAATGACACCTCTCTGATGGATTGCTCGTCATGACAGAGGTAGCTACACTTCGTAGCGATGTAACGAAGTGTGGTCTTGTTATGTTTTTGTTTATAATGCCTGTGAGCGAAGTATGCGGAGAGCAAGCCGTCTGATAAGAGCTCGGCGTTCTGACATCATCATAACCACTGCACTAAGAGCAGACAAACTTGCGCTCCGCATACATTTCTTTTTTGGAAGAGAAGGCTTGTGGAAAAGGAACCGTTGAGGTGGCTACAGTTTGTTTAACTGGAATTATGTCTTCCTTGCAGTGGGTGTTGAGGGAACCAGTGAAGAAAGTGGGAAGGACTGGTCCGAGTTGGAAGAAGAGGCCAGAGAAGGTGGGTGGCATTGAATGCTCTCCAAACCAGCCAAATAGTTGTTTTCTGTGTCCAGTGACAGATCCTAAGAGATATCCGGTGTTAGAACTGCTGTGCCAATTGCGCCAAACTGCGCCAGGATGAATAACCTGCTGCATACTGCTCCAAAGGCTGTATTTGTGCACAATTAGTGCCATGTCTGCGCCGAAAGAGAGCTGTTCCCGAAAAGGAAACTGCAAGTGTCTGGCACATGACATTGTTGGCGATGCCACTGAAAATGGACCTCTTGGCGAATATGTGCTGCCACCTAGACACGCGACTGGGGTCGAGGCTAAGTGGCAAGAAAACAACGCGCGCGCGAGGCCTCTCCCACCCGTTGCACTCCCAAAACGTCAGCTACATCCTGTTCACCCATTGAGACGCTGTGACCTAGATACGGCTCCCCCAAACTCGCCTTTGTCCCCATCGCGCGTAATCTCCCGCCCCGAAGTCAACACAACGAAACCATCTTCCCTCTCTGCTCGGCCAGAAGGAAGAGAGAGAGGGTACTGGAACCAGTTACTCTCGAACCAATGTTTTTGCAAAAGGTCCATTAAGAAAGTACAGATTTTGTTTTATGCCTAAATATTATGTGCGAAGAGTAGGGCTGCACGAATATTCTATTTTTCTAATAGTAGTAGTTTTAAATTAATACGTTATTTGATATTTGCTCCCAAATGAACTGCGATATTCATACTTTTCGAAGAGTTGATCGCGGCGGGTTTAGCTCCCTTGAGTGCACTTTTTCTCAAGCACAGATGCACTGTGGAGAAGCAATACCTGCTGAGTGGACACAGCAATCTCGCGACTCGCTTCGCCACGGCGCAGCCGTGCGCTTAGGCAAAATATATAGACCTTCAAACTAGTTGGTGCACGCTCGCGCCTGATATATTAAAAAAAAAAAGAAAAAAATGGAAGAAGTTTTCTGATTGTTGATATTACATTGCAGTAAAATCTTCAAAATTTAACTGGCTATTATGGAAGGGTATATGTTAGGCAGCGATGTTCTAAATACCTGTGTTCATCATTTGTGTGTGTGTGCACGTGCGTTGCTTGCGCATGCCTTTCTCATTTTGAAAAAAAAAAAAAAAAAAATCTAATCTTCATTTGCACCGGCGGTCTTAAAGCGCACAAAGTAACAGAGCTGTCCAGTTATGTTTCTTTTTGCACTTCCTCTGTCACAGCTTGTTGCTGTGACGAAGCCACACCGCAATGGCATTGTCCACTGGCTTGAAATATCCCGTGCAGAGTCGAACGGAACCGATGACAAAGAAAAAACAGGCTCACCACATGGTTCGCTTTCGTCTACCGCAACGCCGCTTTGCCTCGGCGACTCTGTAAACGCCAGTGTTGATATGCCGCTGCTGCAGAGGCGGTGGCAGCAGGGCGACGGGCGGCGGCTACGCCAGCACTGCAGAGCCCAAAACTTTGTTGAACTGATTGTAAAAATAATCCTGGATCCACCGATTAAGTTTGTTGAACTGAAATATTCGCTATTCTAAAATTCATTAATTTGTTTAACTGAAACATTTTTGCATAAAATTCGCAGTAAAACTGCTGGGGATTTGTTTAAAGCTTGTTATTCTGAAATATTCGTTAAACCGACGTTCGCACAAGTGAGAGTTTTCTGTACTATGTTGCTGGCTTCGGTTTGCAATTTGAACTCCAATCTTCTGCCGGTGATTTGGGGAGAAGAAATCTAATGCAAAGTTTCTCCTGTTCATAGCTGACCGAAACCGCAATGAGTTTGAAGATGAGTACACCAAACGCAAGGGAAAAGGTGGTAGTGACCGCCCACCCGACCGCAAGCCCGACCGCAAGCCCGACCGCAAGCCCGACCGCAAGCCCGACCGCACGCCTGACAGCAAGTCGGATCGCAAGCGTTCGTCGAGCGATCGTCCCTCGCACAGGAGCTCGAGCGGAGGCCACAGCAGCAGCGCCAAGCGTAAGGGATCCTCTACCTCGAGTCCTCAGAAAAATGGGGCCAAGCGCCGCCATGATTCTGACTCCAAGCACAACGATCAGCGTAAAAAGCACAAGAAGTGATTGCATCTGCACCTCCATACGGGTCTGCTCCTGGCAATGGCAGGAACTGCGTAAGTGATGAGATCTAATTGCCATTTGTCGGTTACTTTCCTCTCGTTGCGTGTTTATTGTATCAATTAGTTAGGCACAAAAGAGGGTTGATTTTGAGTGTTTTTGTTAGCAATGCAGAGCGCAAGTTTGTCTGCTTCTTTTTGCAGAGGTTGTGGTGACGTCAGAACACCGAGCTCCGATTGGTTATAATTGAAGGATTGTGGGTAGACCTCAAGGCAGCTTGCTTTGAGGTCTACCCATTATCCTTCAATCAGAGCCAATCACAGCTGGGCATTCTGACGTCACCACAACACCTCCAAAAGAAGTAGACGAACTTGCGCTCTGTATAGACCAATTTCACCAAACTTTCTGTACCTCTAACTTTTTTTGGGGTGCCACGCTCTGCTGTCTTGGCAGTGCTTGTGATATCTAAAACAGATTTTCAAACCTTGAATAAAAAAAAAAATAGTACCTGCAATTCGTTCATGAAAAGACATGCACATTTGATTTGTTGAGCACTCGGAAGGTTATTCCCTGAATTCCTAGCTCCCACTGGTATTTTATAGGGAAAAAGGCAGTGATATTAGGGTCTTTCGAACTCGTGTGCCAGTATCAATGTGATATACTAATCAAAGTGAAAGGGCAGCTTCGGTCAATTCTAAGAAATTTGAGTTAAAGGGCAACTCCGCTCAATTCCGAACATTTCGGGATAATGAGTGATTTCGAATTAAAAAGCCCTAGTCAAAGACACTACGTCGTTTGCTTCGCGAAAAATGGGATATATATTTTTAAATCTAATTTTAAACACAAGCGGAAATCGAAACCAAAACTTCGGCTCCGTCCAGCAACATTGGCCTCGGGCCGCCAAGTACATGGCCATCACGTGGTACGAGATGTCACGTGATCCTCGGCCCAACGACGGGCGGGATGGGGGCGGGTGTGCGGCAGGTGCGAACGCGAGTGTCATTTGCACCGCACTCTTCGCCACGTTTTGGTGTCTACGGCATTCGACGACGTCTGCACAACTGCGGCATAAATCTGCGGCTCTGCGCACGTGGTGTCCATAGTGTGGACGAAACTCCGAGAGGCAATAATCACAAACGGTGAGACGACGACGGTGGTTGTGACGCGGAAGACGGCGGTAACGGCGGGACCACGGCGGGCGGTTGGTCTGCTCCCAAGAAGCGCGCTGCGCAGGCGCGTACGCCAATCACGTGGACACTGCTGAGCGCCGAGAGGCAACGTTGCTGACTTCATGCGCTACGCTCGATCGGAGAAGTAAAAACAAGCAAAAGGGGGCCATGGTGATAACGTTTAGCTCAATGTTTGCTCCGCCCATGCCGTAGCCTTGACTGCGCTGTTGGTCACGCCTGAATTCGCCCGCTCGAGTCAGCCGATTTCGGTAACTTCGCGAGTTGCAAAGTTTGCCGAACCGTTTGAGAAACATTTAGACAGAACTGCGTCGTAATATTTGACGTGTGGTCTTCCTAGGCGATACTAAAGAGGAATGCATTGTTTTTTCAAAACCAAAAATGAAGCGGAGTTGCCCTTTAATGGTGTAATATTTTTGTGCAATCTTCATTTAAAGCTCACCAGAAACCGATACCTTGAATGCGGCGGGCAACATTGCTTCTGTGCTGTAACCTACATCCTCTAACCACATGGTAGAAATCGTGACGTTAAGCACCAGGCATGCGGGTAGGCGCAGCTCGGCGCAAGGGTGAAAGTGTCGTCTGCTACAGAGCCGTATATTGGGAGAGTTCGGCAAATTTATGATCTAGCCTCCATAATGCCCCCCCTCCCAAGTGAGTCAATCAGCCTGCGGTGCAGAGTGAGAAGCTTGAGCGCATACGTGTGAACTCCCGGCCGCTCCCAGATGAGCGGGGAGGGCCGCCATTTTCATTCATTCACCCGGTGGGATGCTTGGAATATCGCTGGCTCTGGCAAGAAAATGATATACTGGTATTTGTCGGTGGGCTAAGAAGCTAACAAATGAAGTTTCTAGACGTCTGACCGCAAACTTTTATTCAGGTGAAAAATTCGGCCCGTAGCAGACAACGGGTAGCTTCACAATGCTCTGCACGGAGAGCGTGTTGCACTGGTCAGACTCTCCCAATATACGGCTCTGGTCTGCTACACCCGACGACGTCCGCACTACTGCGGCCGCAGCTTGCGTTTTAGCAGAGAAAATGGCAAGTTTTCCCAAGAGCTTGCTTTTAAAACATTAGTAGAAAGTGAAGTTCAGCAAAACTACACATAAATATGTCGTAACAGGTTTGTGCAAGTATGCCATGCTCAACGTCGCGAACTGCCTCTCTCGCATGCGACGGAGACTGCCGGTGATGACGCATGCTCTCACGGGAGCAGACAGGCGCGTGCGCGTTCTGCGAATCAGTGGTCAACGAGGAGCGTGCTACTAGCACCGCCTGTAGGCTTTGCTTAAAAAAATACCAAACAGGCAAACAAATCTCTTTGAGAGCCCTAAGCATGACGTAAGTAGCGCAGGGTGCGGTGCACCACCACGGTCGTATCGACTGTGCTGTTGGCTTCGCCGCGCCTTGCCTGCTAGAATTAGCAGATTTTAGTAATTTCGTGCACCTCAAATTTTGTTTGCCAGTTTCATCTACTTTTAGGTGGTATTAGATTGAAATATGTAGCGTGTGGTCTATTTAGGCGAAAATGAAGCGAATTGCATAGTTTTCTTAATATGTAAAATGAACCGGAGTTGCCCTTTAAGTATAAGAAATGACTGAATATGGTGTATTGGGTTGACTATGGAATATGCCTGGGGAGCAGAAAGTGACTTGGAAAGCAACTCAATAGTATTTAAAGTTCATTATATTTGGAAGCAGTCTGGTGGTGGGCTCTACATCTTAAGCTCCCAGTAAAAACCAAACATGTAGTAACTTGTTTATATTTGTAACGGATACTACAAAGTGCTGCTTATCACGAAAGTGATAGTAGCAGCAGGTCCCCTTCTGTGATCAGGAAAGATTGTTGTGAAGCTATCATTTCAATTCCCTTTCGTTTCTTTTTGATGCTTGCCATTTTATATTCACTGCAGAAAAGGTACCTTGGAAAAATGGTAACACTCAGGTGCCCTTGATTATTAGAATGCTCCAACTGCCTAAAATGCAGACTTAATTCTTTGATGCAAGCAGCACAAGATGTGCTAATAGTAGCTGAAAACATGTACAGTCATGAGATTTATGAGAGGGAACACGTGGGTACATGTGACTTAGTACAAGCAGGGCAGCCTAGCGAGCGCTGTGCGCGATGTCATGTGTGCTGCGACGGCTCTTCCAGAAACCGGAGGCACCTCCCGGCTCCAGCTGACGCCGTTTGCTGCGCTTGCTACCGACAGCGTGGGTTGCCCACAGCGATGAAAGGCGCTCATGCGAAACCGCTGCTCTATCGCTATGCTGCGCGTATCGGGAAAGCGAAATTTGTTCTTTTTGCTTCGTTCATTAATCTCAACATTCATAAATTCAGTCAATCATAAAAACCAAGATGGCTTTTTCAGATGAATATACTTTTCTATTGGGACAGAACAGAAAAGAGTTAGGATGGTTGCAAAACGCTTTCAGATTCCCGTTGCCCAACACGCGCAGCATGGTGATGGAGCAGCACTAAGAGGGGTGCTGTTGGCAGCAAGTGCAGCAGACGACATGGCAGTACGAGCCGGGATTACCCCCAATTGTTTGCAAAGCCAAGGCTGCACACATGACAACGTGCACAGCGCTCGCTAGACTGCTCTGCCTTTATCGAATGACGCACGCTCGTGTGTTAAATCTTAGGACTGTACATTTAAAATGGTAGCAGTAGTGAGGAGATAGCTGAGAAACCAAATAACCCTCCCCCCCCCCCCCCCCCCCCCCCAAAAGAAAATAGTGACTTGTTGGTGGGTATATGCCAGGGGTGTCCAGGCTGACCCGGCCTAAGAGCCACAAACAAAACCACGAAACTTCCAAGAGCTGCGGTGTGAAGGGGGCAAACTTTTGTCCTGAGCAATAAACGAAAGTCGAACTACTTTCAGTCTATCCGAGTCAAAGGCAGTTCAACTGTATGCAAGGTAGCAGTAGCACAGGACTAGCAAACCACAGCCCGTCTTTCGATTTAAAACGCGTTCTCTCTCTCTTTGGGGAAGTGCTCATGTGACTGGGAAGGGGGGAGATAAGGGAGGGAGCCGCGAGCCACTTTTTAACACGCAAAGAGCCCCATGCGGCTCGCGAGCCGCAGCTTGGCCACCCCTGGTATATGCAGTGCTTAATTTTACATTATTAAACACTGTTTTCTGGATAATTGTGAACTTTCAGGCATGCATGCGACATACTTTTATTTGTCATCTTTCTTGATATTCAACCATAGATTTATACAAAGAATATGAATAGCAACAACAGTGTTTTATTTGAACGCTCATATACTGCATTTGCAATTCCAGTGGTTCTGAACCATTTATGTTTTTCGGACTCCTTTTAAAAAGGCAGACATGATGGAGGACCCTGTTCAGGGTGAGGGGAATAGAAAGGTATAGGTTGATAACGATTTATTAAATGGATATAACTAATTGCTAGTGTGAAGTAGACTTACCTCATTGACATACACACGAGAGAACTCACCTGAAAATTGGAATGTTTCTTCTCAATGTGAAAAAAGACCATTTACATTGCTGGGCTTGACTGACAAGACAGGGCTTCGCGAACCCCTAGGATGCCATCGCGGACCCCCATTTGAAAACCACTGCTCTAGTCTATTGGTAATGCTAACCTTAAATAAAGTCTGCCTGCACACCAGTTCGACACGAGGTATACTTGATGTCGAGGTTGACTATCCCGTGGTCTCATGTGAATCCCGTTTTTCTGGAAAGGTGGCTATCATCACGGCGTCAAGAAGTCGTCTGTCCTCATCAGTGGTTAGCCAGATGCCAAGTGGCCAAGCATTTTCAGGAACACCATGAACATACCTTTGCCACGACTTGGACCACCTTGCACCCTCTTTTTTTTTTTTGTTGCCCCATAGCCTCTTCTGTTTGTGCATGCATATTTGCTGAGTTTCTTCCAAAAATACTTCCACATAAGAGCAGTAAATACCTGCTTTTGGTAAGTTCAACTGACTGCTGTTATGCCTGTACCATAGCTTTTTCTGGACCACAGTCGTGCCACTCTTGCAAGTCCAACAGGCTTCTTATTCTTTGGGGCAAGCATCCCAAGTGTACATAGTTTACACATTGTGCAAACCTTTTGTCGATATATATATATTTGGGATCCAGTGTTCATGGTTCTTTTGCTTTCTAAAAGTTTGACTGGTTCACACTTGCAGTGTTTGTTATTTAGCTTGCAAGGACTGAATGTCTCAATGTCAATTTGTTCAAATGTTATTTCATTTCTTGTGAGCCAAGATTTGCGTAAGGCTTTCTTGATTTTAATAAATGCTTTTATATTCATTGGTGTCGTTAGTTTCATTGGGGGATCTAGAAGTGCTTTCCACTGAGTGCCTTGCAGATAGATGGATATCACACAATTTTTTTTTAGGGGTAGGATGTTGTGGCTAGATGTGACACTGTGTCACAAAGTATTTTAACTGATGAACATTTTTCTGCTAAGCCTGGTGGGTTAATCCACTGAACTGCCAGTCAATTTCACTTACCATTGCATGAAGCTAAGGTGCCTCTGCTGAATATAGTAACAGTGTGCATATAATGCAACTCCTATATTATAAAAAATTTGGTAATTTCTTTCAGAATAAAATTTTCCCTTGAGAAAGTTATGCAAAGCCAAGCACTGTCAAATCTGTGCACACACAATTGCAACACAGTACAATTTCCTTGCAACACAGTGATATTTATTCATTTCTATATCTTGAAAACATCTGCTTGTAACAATAGTCTTGCAGTTAAGGGAGCTTGCTGCTCATTTTTGTATCACAAATTGGATTGCAATGTAGGAAAAGTAGCTTGAACATTCACTCAAACAAAATATTTTGACATTGGTCTTGGATTTTCTTCGTATTCAAGGGAATTTTGCATTGTCTGAAGGCTTCTAGCACCTACGACATGCAACATCATTTTTTGTGATGCAAGGTATGCCATTATTGTATGTTTCATTGAAATCAAACTTTGGTGGTGTTAACTCTCTCCTGACCACGGGAAAATAGCAATTTTCAAAGGATCCGTGCTACCGCTTTTTTCTTCCTAATTTGGGTGTAAGAAATATGACACATCAAAATGGGGCCAATTAGTTGTTCTTTCAAAAGAAACATTAGTATAATGTGAGGAAAAAATTTTAAAATAAAATTTCTTGAAAATGAAATGTATGTGCGGAAAGCATATAAACAGAGAAACTTCTACAGCTATGTCAAATTAAAAAAATTCAGAATATACTAAATGTGCCCCACACTCATGGCTATTACTTCTCAAAGTTAGTGTACTCTAACAGACGTCTATTTTTGATTCGTCAGAGTTAACCTCCAAAACACATGTGCTTTTCACGAAGGAGTGCTTTTATATTGGTGAAACACAGATAGTACACCTCACATCCTCAACAGAATGCTTTCTTCGTGGTCTACCTTGATTTTGTCATAGCCTTGATTGCAGTTCCTTGATATTTAGCATTTTTGTCCACCTTGTTGGGAACATAAAACTTGCACACCAGCTCAGGATAGCATTAGAAATTATAATGATGCTCACCGACAACCATCTGTTAAGTGACACCTATAACATCATTTAAAATGTCCCCAGAGCTCTTGAGGTCTAAAACATATGCCACAATACAGTTGAAATATGTAAATAATCCCTTTTTTTTTTTTTTTAACTAAGACTGATGCAAGCAGTTAGCCATGTTACATAAGTGCAACCACCGTCCCCAGGACTGTTTTTGACAGCACACCCGCTTGTGATCAAGCTAAAACCCATGTTGAAACTGAAACTACAATTTTTTCGGCTATCCACGAGGTTGTGGAACATAATTCTCAGCACTAAATTTAATTTTTAGACTGCGCTTGAAACCATTGATCGACGGCTTATGGGCGCGGTCAGGAAAGAGTTAATTCTTATCAAATCTGTTAGATTTGGTAACCGGATGTACATTTCTGTTAAACTGAAAAGTTGTAGCCATACTTCATGCAAGTAACTGCATGTAATGGAAAGACATTTGTCAACATAGTATTGCAGAGCTTGGAGATGCAGGAGTGGGCTAGCACTATATTGTATCCCATCATGTTCCCACATGTGAACAGAACTCTGGAATGAGAGGCATGTGGGCTTGAGAGCAGAACTTACCATGTTTGTTTCATTTGTATTAGTAGTATTCTATAAGGTCTACCCTTCTGTCTTCACAAGTTAGGTATTTTGTGTTGTGTTGTGTGACTACATGTAACCAATCAAAAATCCATTTTCACACAGGAAACCAAATTTGCTATTTCAGGAATGATCATTTGCTCTAAGTTCACAGTCTGTCTGCTTGCAGAGGCCATGAAACCTGGCATGGCTGTGGGTCTTTGCTTTACTGTGCCTATTGAAAGACATGCTTGTGAACCTGTAAATAACCATGGTGGTAGTGACCGTCAAAACACTTATGTCCTCCCATTGAATACTATTGCCTAGAAAGTGGCGGGTGCACAATATCTCTTGAGAGGTGTACCATTACAGCTCAAAGGTTACCTTCAAAACAAAACAGGGTTCTGCAGAGAAAGAGTTTTGTGGTCTAAAATTCCTAATACACAATTTGTTTCTTGGCAGCTTTGCCTCTGTATTACTAACAGTGGTCATTGCATAGTGCTATTTCGAGAGCATGAGTACTTTTGAATATTTTATGTCCATGCCATTTAGGTAGACAATGAATTATCTTGGCCTTGTATGGCCAAGGTAATCATTGGTCATATTGTGCATAAGCTCTTTTACTGGTGTAGTCTTAATGCTTTAGAAGTGAATTTTGCTCTGGAGGAATGTTTTGTGTTTTGATGGTAATGCATTCCTTCCCATGTGTCTCAACGAAGTGGCTTGCAGAAATGTGTTATGAATGGTTTCCAGGGGAATGCAGGATACAGTTTTTGGGACAAGCAATAGGAGAACATAGGCCTTTTATGGGGAGGAATGATTGCACTCGGCCTTGCTTGCAGCGTCACCGGTAAAGTGCCATCTGATTCACCACTTCGTCAATGGATGTATCGCCAAACTTGTCACGATTTTCCTGCATCAGGCGGTAGATCTCCTGTAGTTGTTTCCGCTGGGTCCTACATAAAAAGCAGTTTACATCATGCGTGAAGTGGTATTACAAGTGCAAATGTTCTGTTCAATGACCCATGGCACTGACATAATATGTACTTTGTTCACTCTTCCGTGTAGAGGACGCAAGCACAAATGGGTGGCTTTGCAAGTGCATTGACGATGCTTCGCCAAAGTGCTCACCCTCCTGCTTTTTGATACATTTCAGCAAAATGTTAATTTGCACCAAAAGTTCCTTTCTTTTTCTTAATACCGGAACTATTAACTCGAGCTCTGCTACACTGTCAGTCTGTTATGGTAGGCCTGTGCAAATTGTTTAACTCAATGTATTGAGCACCGAGAGTATTCTGGTTTCACATTTCTCGTGGTATGAAATCTGTTTCAACTCTGGTAGCTCTGTGGAGTGCACTTCACTAGTGCACTGTGGAGCGGACACTGCGATCCTGTGTATCTCGCTTCACCACAGACTAGCTGCACACCGCGATCCTGTGTATCTCGATTCACCACAAAGTAGCTGCGTGCTTAGGGGGAAAGCGCTCCCTCAGCAGGATGATGCGCACACACGTTTGGTACCTAATAAACGAACGGAACTATGGCCTTACAGTAACATTTCAAGATAAGACTGCAGCTATTGTCCCAGAATATATACTTCAGGCTGCGATGCTCTGACAAGCTGCATGTGCCATTGGTAGTGAATTTTCCAAATCCAAGATTTAATTAAGAAGGATACTAATGCTTTAACAGTGAACAAATGGAAGCTTGGGATTAAAGGCTCAAAGGCATTCAGAAACAATTCGAGCACCTATTTTATTGCCGAAATGTCAACCATGTTCTGGCCAAAACATTAATTAAAGTTAAGAAACTGAATGTCGTTATGTCATACTACCCATAAAAGCACGACTGCTTCGCGGAGGTATGGCGGCAAGCTGCATGCACGCAAGCCCTGTCCTAACTTGGCCGAGCCGGATTTCCCTTCTATCTCGCGCCTATTCAACTCCTACGGGGAGCGGGCATCCCAAATGGCCAGGTTGTAACGCATTGACGCCACCAAGTGTCAAAGCTCACAACCATGCCAGCTTCCTTATAGCTTTGCGCATAAAGGAAAACCCGACGTCACGAACGCACTGGAGGTGCCAGATCTCCCGAGATGCATTGCACTCTCCGATGGCTGCTGTTCTAGCACTCGCTGGAATTGGCTGTTTGGAACAAAATATATAGCCATCCATTCAAAATAAAAAATCTGTGATTGTTATTAGAAGATTTTGTTGATCATGTTTAACTTGTTTCTGAATGCAAAAGGTATATTTCAATTTTCATTTGAATATTCCTTTAATGAGTTTAAGGAACTTTGGTTAGCCCTCTGAAAATGGTGTTTTTGCTATATTCAATTATTTTAATATAAAGTCGGTCTTGCACTGATTATTCTTGCTCTTTGTTGCACTCTGTGGTTTAAAAGAAGCAAGTTATTTTACTAGGTTCTTTTAGGTGTGTTGCCATGCCCCATGTATGAGCAAGAGCATGGCTTTTTCTGGATGTGCGTAGCGTCCAGAACATAAAAAAACAAGCTAGATCAAAAGCTAACAATAAATTTATAAAAACAATATCAAGCACTATAAGCCAAGTTTCATTCAATTATCGTAAAAAACAAAACTTGTTTTTCCCTGGTGCACGTCCCCTTAACTGAGCTATGAACGAAAGTTGCATCGCATGAGTGGAACACTATTGCTCTACCTTTGATTACATACCTAATTGCCTTCCACGCATGCTGATGCTGTCCTGCATTTACATGTATTCTAAAAGCAGCTGCTAGAATGAGACTTGTAACAACATTTTTTTTTTTTTTTTCATGTCTGGTGCTTAAGTACAGCTAGTCAAGTGTTTGGGGAATTATACTGTTTGCTGTATAATGGATGCTAGTGAGTGGTTGCACAGGAGTGGGAAAGCAAAGGCACGGCCTTTTAGCTGGATAGGCCAATGCATGCTTAACTATTTGTAGTGGAAAGAGTGATAAAGTGACGCATGTGCTCCAAAAATTACTTTGCTACTCTAAGATGATTTGTACAAGTCATTGCTGCACGTGGGTGCTGCTGCATAAGCAAGGGATCTTTTTAAGAATATAGAAATTCTTCAAAAGATTCCCATTCACAATTTCGAAATGTGAGACACTCTTGCTTTAATCAATAGACCATGGTTAACTAGCAGGTAGCCAGAGTTGTATGAATAGTAAATTTCAAATGTTTAAAAGGGTATATATGAACCAGTAACAAAGAAGTGGTCCACAAGTTCTTCACAAGCAAAAGCTACGCCCCCTCTTACCGGTAGGCATCTAGGAACAGTAGACTAGCGGAAATTGGGCCCAACTCCGGTAGGAACAGCAGTATACTTGCGGAAATGGGGCCCCAACTCTGTAAATCGCCTTTCCTAACCCGTACTGGTGACAACTCACTCGTGCTCAAGCTCTCGTTGCTGATCAGTCATTGCAGCCGATATCACCGACTCGGCTGCCATGGCCACCAGTGGCTTCGCTGGTAGTCGCTCCGCCAGTCCTTCAGACTGCAGTTCGGCGTCGTCGCTCTACAGGCGTCAATGCGGGAATTGATTTAAGACATGGAAATGATCGATTCACAGTTATCATATGGCGCAAGAACTTCCGTCGTGCTTTAAATTGAGAATGTAGCGAATGGTATCGCGTTGCTACGGAGCGACTTACATCGTCCGTCGATTCATCCTCACTTGTTACAGCAGAGGGGCCAACAAATGTGTTGGATGCAACATTGGTACTGTTTGCAGTCCGGTAGGAGAAAATGGCAGTGATTAGAACAGCCGTAACCGAGACGCCTATCGAAAGAACCAGCACGGGACTGAGGCTGCTCCATATCGAGCCCATACCGTGACCATGGCAACGTCTGTTTAGAGATGGGGAGTTTTGTTTAGTGTCGATGACCGAAATTAAATAACTGCACATAAGCTACTGTACTTCGAAGTTGATCGAGCAAAGGTGGAAGTACTGTTACGAACGTTCATGTGCTTTGGATGCTGTAGAATTAGTTGCTACAGGCTTCTTTTTTTTTTTTCTTTTGGGGGGGGGGGGGGGGGGGGAGGAATTTATGTGAGGGGCTTTGATGGCTTTGACCGTTCAAGTAAGAGCTCACACAAATGAAGCAAGGTCAGCGACCGATATTACAAGTTGCAGTCGTCTGGCACATCGAATACACTAAAATCCAGCTACAATCGCTATTCTAGCAATCCGCCTCCGTGCACCACCTTGCCCCGTACGGCGCACAAGGTACAAGCAGTACAAGCTCGAAGCCGCACTGATGGCACTGATGCACCGAGTAACCAAGCCGAGCCAGGTCGAGCCGAGTCAAGCATTGGGCTGAGCTCTGGGCTGAGCCAGCCGAGCCAGCCAGCTGAGCCACTGAGCTGAAGGTTGGCAACAAAGTCGTCCGACTTTAGCGAAAAAAAAAAAAAGGTTTTGGTTTACCCAGCAACCATGGCGATGTTATGGGAAAAATGCCCGTGATGCCCCGTTTTTGTTTTAACCATTTCAAAACAACCTTATTGTGAACTCTTAACGTAACCCGCAGCAAGGTTTGTACCCTTCTTTCGCGCCCTTCGGCGTTATACAGCAGCGTAACGGGGCCAGACGAAGTCGGCGTGTGTACAGCTGCACCTGTTTAGATCGCCCGTACTCCATCTTTGCGTTTCTTTTTTCTTCTTTTTTTTTTTTTCTTCGAGCGCGATTTTGTGGATTTGTCGTTCCCGTCTCGAAACCACGGTTGAATCAAAGCCTATGACACAATATGCACGACGATCCGTCAGTTGGCAGTGTGGTTTTTGACTGTAACGGGTGTTTCGGATCGGGGGAGCGTTCGAGCTTTCCGCTCGGGCATAACCCCTAGCCTGCCAAGATACGACATCAAATTTATAAACACTCGCGTATTTACAAGACTACTCTGTACGAGCGTTGATTTTGTCAACCGCGTGCGGCGAAACCTTTGAACGAGTTGCAGCGTTCCTCAAGGTCTTTACCGTGCAACGCTCACCTAATCATTTGACACCAACACATGAAAAAGAAAAGGAAGCCGCGACAAATAGCAACAGAAGGGCCCGTTGTACAGGCCACCGTGTTTGGTAGAGTGCACATACAGTGAACTGTGGGTAAAGTTGAAAGACTATATGAAGAGAAGCACCATATATGCCAAAGGCCATGTAATTTCGAAGTAGAGTACGAGTACCCGTCCCACACGATCTTATAATTCCCCTAAATATGACGTTACGCTAATAAAACAGGAATTAGTACGATAGGGAAGGGTTAAATGAGTGTCCAATACGTATATTTTTCTCTATGGAACAGCAATTAATCAAACGGTGAAGCAATCGGTTCGATCATGCTATGTCAACACTGGTTGGGACTGATAGAAAGGTCCCCCACAGGCGCTGAAGAGGGCAGCACACAGCCGACCCTAATGAAGTCGCCTTAAGGATACAACACTAGCTGATATGTGTCTTTGGCAGCTCATTTTTAGGTATTGCAAGCTCCCATCTGCTCAGGTGCTTGATGCATAACTGCACTGTTGTCATTCTTTTTCTCAAAATCGAAGACTGTGTCTTGGCTTTCTGATGTTTTCGTTCAACAGATTGCATCTCTTGCAGCTGAGCTAGGTGTTCTCTAGATAATTTGTGAGCAAAATATTTATGATCCTTCGCTTTGGTGTGAATAGAGTGTCACTTGCAGTATTATCACCCATTCTGTGACACCAATTTGCCAGAGGCTGATATCAAGAAGTGTTCTTGGTAGTGAAATGTTGTACCCTCCTGTAAAGTACTACAAAAATTGCTTCACATAAGGTAAAAATACAGGTTTCTAATATATACCCGAAGTAAAGTACAAGTATATTCAAATGCATTGACAGCATTGACAGGGTGTGATCAATTCTTTGAAATGCAGTGTCACACTCCTCACTTCACTTCTTAACTGGAGTGCCAAAGAGTCGGTTCTGCTCACAGGGATTATGCAGTGATTTTGATTCCCCTACTGTTGAAATTTGGTTCAACCAACTGAATGGTGCTTTACTCTCACCCCTCAGTGTTCTCAAGGAGTACACTATTGATCCCATCTGAAATCACCTAGCTGCTGTTATAGTTCAGATCATATCACATAGTTTTGTCCTCTGTAAACCATCTTTATAGTTTACGATGACCAATGGCTTCAAACCAACAGATTTGGCAAACATTGTCAAAAATTTGTTGGTTTACTTAATGCTGCTCTTCCCCATTATCATGATCTGATCTCCGAGTCATAATTTTGCAATGTTATAAGTGTGTGTAGCACTCAAAGTTAATTAAAATATGAGGGCACATGAAAGTTCCTACCTGAGGTTTAGTTCTGAGCAAAAAAGATGGAAGTTGTTAATATTTTGCATGCAAGCTTATTGCATTGCCATTCGCACACCACACTGCTGTTGCAATTTGAAAGCTTTTGGTTGCTTTTAGAAAACACCTGTTCTAATCGACGATAGAAAAAAAAATGTTTCTTGTTGAAATATATGTGAAAAAATAGTGACATTTTCATACCAGATTCTATATACAGGGAAGAGTAGATAAAAATTTGTTGAACAGTTGTAGAATATGAAGACTTTTGATTGATGCTTAGTTGGGACAGCTTTCCTCTTTGAATGTTGTCCACATACCGCTAACCTACACTGTGGGGTTTCATCTAGGCTTGGCCAGACCCCAGCAGAGCGAGGCACAATGGCGTGGCACAAGTGCGGCACGTGTGGCAAGCGCTTTGCCTTTTTGAAGAGCCTAGAGGAACACCAACGCACGCACTCCAACTCTGCGAGCGTACCCACCCCAGCCACCTTCGAGTGCGAACTCTGTGCCCTCAAATTTGCCCTCCTCTCTGAATACCGATCGCACACGAGCGAACACCACTGCGGCCAGGCCTCGCCGGGTGCCTGCGCGGACAGGGACCAGTCGTACGCCCTCGACGAGGAGGAAGCAGACGGCCACTACTCCGGAGCACCCCTCAAGGGGTTTGAGTGCGAGGGATGTGCGAAAAGGTTTGCCACAGCGTTTTCGCGGGAGCGCCACTACCAGCGCAAGCACGGCACCACCCCCTGCTCCCAAGAGAGGGGTCGTTACCACGTCAAGGACTACAAAGTCGGTCGAAGCTTGGTGATTGCACGGACAGTTCGGTAGCGGAGTGGCCTCCTTGCTTGAATTTGCTCACCTTCTGCTGCCCGTCACACTGTTCAGACGCATAGTCACGGGCTTTCTGGGGGAAAGGTTGGGTTGACTTGTGCTGTTGCAAATAGTAAAGCATTGGAAGCTTAAAAGCAGAAAAAATGGCTCTGACCCAGTATTCCAGCTCCTTAAAGGTGGGCTTGTGTAAGTGCAGTTTCATTATTGTAAAAGGCGTGTCTTAACCTTTTTGTGTTCCTTCCACCGCCTGCCCGGTTTTTCTTGAATTTTGCTCGCTGTCTGGTCCTAAGCAGTCGAGGTCACTGGCACACATTTGAGCTTGCTTTTGAGTCGGTTACCACATTATAATTTGAACAAACACTCACTTTCATGTTTTAGAATTCTTTTTATTTGTGATACAGGAGCAAATAATATAACAAGAACAAATAGAATGTGGCCTGAGACCGGGTTGAGTGAAAAAAAGTTTTAAATCGAGGTTTACAATGTTTACTGGCTTGGATTCAGGGCACATTGCCTGCCTTCCCTAGCACTGCTGAGCACCCTGACCTATTGATGGGTGTGTGCTTTACGTTATGTCAGTATGGGATTCATCACATGTTAATCCTCCAGGAGTCTATGCATCAGCACTTGTTGAGTTCTAAATCAATAAGACTGATTCCTGCATTTTAAATTTTTTAAATGGACCTCTATTGTATTTGTGGGAAGGGAGTTTTATGTAGTGCTTTTAACTTTTTCAAGTAAGTACCGGGCGTCCGCAAGAAAACAGAACCCTGTTTTTCGCTCTGCAAAAATGAAGTAGACATCGCGGAGAGCTCAAACTTTGTCAGAACATAGCCCCAGCTGTTCGAGCAAGATGCCAAAGTTTCAGCACCAACCGTTATTCAAAAGTTATAAGCGATTTTCTGAAATTTTCAATGGGAAAATGGGGGCCCATTTTCGCCCGTTTTCGGTTTGTGGTGTCATAGAGCTCCATGTATCGAGAGCTCCGTCAGCCGCCATTTTTCCTTCGAAATTTTCAGAAAATCGCTTATAACTTTTTAATAGGATAACGGTTGGTGCTGGAACTTTGGCATCTTGCTCGAATGAGTGGGGCTACATTCTGACAAAGATTGAGCTCTCCGCAATGTATAGTTTATTTTTGTGGTGCGAAAAACAGGGTTCGGTTTCCTGCATGTCAAAACAAAGATAAAATGTTTTTTTTTTTTTTTTTTTTTTTTCCATTTTTGAGAAGGAACAAACGTTTATTATCATTTACTCCATTTGGATATTGTTACCCACTGCAAACCTGTGCTGTTATTTGGAATATTCTGGTGCCGCATGAGTAATCTTGGTATAAGGTTAAAAAAAAAGTGCCATCTAGTGATGCAAAACTGCACCAAACTGCTCGATACTTTAAGAAGAAACTTTGATCATTGATGTCACATGTTGATCTGTCTTCTCAGCAGCAGACTGTATATAGGTCGCTTGGAAGCGAAACTTGGAAGCTACCGCTGAGCTTCATAGTTATTTTCAGAAAATATTTAAATCGGACTACTTGTAGACAATCAGAACTCACTGTCATCAGGGCAATAAGGTATGCACTGCTGGTTGTAGACTTCATGCTGGCACAGACAACAATTATTTCTAGTTTCTCTAAAGCTTTGAACAGTCAAATTGGGGCTAGTTTTGTTTTGCTGATGTGATTTCTGCAGGTGGTTCAAAGGCTGTTGTATATAGGGGGACCCTTGCATAACACACCACACGTTTGATGCTTGCAAAACATTTTGCACTTCATGTTCTCATGGGGCAGCAATAAGGTAATTGAGGAAGGGAATTAGGGGCCACATTTGAACAGATGGATGTGTCCCATACATCATCCTCAACTACGACTTTCACCTGTGTGCGGGCCCTTCTTAGTGACAACTCTTGTCTAGTAGAGCTTATCCAAACAAAGTTATTGAATGCCTAAAATTGTATATGTAGCAGCATGTGAGCACAATTTTTTAACAAGTTATTTGTCCTTTTTTATAATGGGCAATGATATTTTATGAACAGTAACAAATTTTATATCAACTTGCATGGAAGTATTGGCATTTGGATTTGTAGGCAAACAGAGTTCTTGTTTCTACAAATCTAGACAGTTGTATTCTGAGCTGGTTCAACCAACCATTTTTATGTTGACTGTTTGCTTTGAGGTAATCCAGGCAATTTTGTGTTTTGCTGCAACAGTAGCAAAACATTTACTTGGGTCATCTTTAGTGTAGCTTGTTCGAAAGTCTCGGCTTTTTAGAATGCCTTGGTTCGCCTAGTCTTTGGGAAACAGAAGAAACTGAAATTGCAATAGGACATTGCACGCTTGTTCCAAACAAAATAAAAAGCTTTAAGGTGCTGGTACTAGAATGTACAGCTTTGAGTTAATATGCACTACCCTGTCAAGTGTAACAGTAAACACGGCACTTTTTGGCACTATGTGACAAGTGTAAAAGTTTTCTTTGGGACCTTCTGAGGTTCCACTAGTGTTGTTTTTCTGATAATCTGCCCTCTGTGTTGCAGTTCGTTCTAATTTTTCTTGCAATACGTGCATGGCAGTAGGCTTCACAACTTGAGAGTCATTGTTAAGCATATAATGGCAATTCTGGTATGCATAAGGCAAACTGTATTTGTGACCATGGCTTCAACCACAACCCTATGTGCACATCTTGTACAGTTCTTCGGAACCTCCGAATGGATGTTTTCATTGTTCTAGTGACTTAGCCGGCCTGGAGAAGATTTAAAAGGAGAGACAGCAAAAGGTCTTAATTTTATAAATATAAAGATTATTGGTAACTTTTTCTTTTACCTTTATTGGGTGCTCAAAAACAAAGTGATAGTACTGTTCTTACTATTAGTATTGTGCTAGTTACTGTAATTTCACAAAGATGAAGGAAGATATTTGGCTCACTGTATCAAATGCAGGAAATTCTGGTCAGAAATCTGAACTATTGCTAGAGGATACAGTAAACTACACCCTACAAAGTAAAACTGCAAATGTTGAGCATCACAACCCTGCTGTTGTCGAGGTAAAATTTTATCCCTTGACCAGTGTTCACTTTGCATCTTCTAAAAAGGTTTGCACCATCACGAGTTCTGTACATAATGCATCAAACCTTTATTCCTAAAAGAAAAAAGTTCTGAGAACTGTTTCTAAGTTGTTTGACGGTGCCTTTCTGTAGTCCTAGCTGCTCTTTCCAAGAGGATTGTTAACTATTCTGTCTTTTTGAGGGGCAAAAAAGGGGCCTCTTGTATATATGTAAATATGTTCTTGTTTGAACAATGTAACCCACATGTACTTTGTGCTGCATTGATGCACTGTAGCAAAGTTGGAACTGACAATAAAGAACTGACAGCCCAAGATGCAGGTGACATTACTTGCCTAGACTCCAAGCATGATGCCTTCCGTTTGCATAATTTATTTGTCATATTCTGTCCAAAAGTTCCAGGTCGATGAACTGGGCATCGTGTAAAGCTCGTGCGAGGACTGAAGTAAATTTTTCACTTCAAAATTTATTTGGTAACATGACTGCAGTTGCACCGTTATCACAGATGCTCAAGTGGTTCTATGCAGGGGTTTCCCCATTAATTGAAATTAGGGAGAGGGGGGGGGGGGCATTGAGAATAGAGGAGTCGTTGCGAATTAAGGGGGTGCGTTTAGAAAAAACGGGGGTGTGTACATGTGTAGGGAAATCGCTGGTTCTATGCCATCTTGGTTCCTTTCTCAGAACTGACTGAAAGTATTAGCATAATTTTGTGCTGTAATTTACCATATTTCTTTGGAGGAAGCTGAACAGTCCCAGTAGCATACCTCGGCAAACCTCACTCACGAGGGCCCTCACTCACCCTCGCTCACCCTCATCTTCACAGGTGAGGTGAGGGTGAGTGAGTTTCTGAACGAGGAAAATTCGTGAGTGTGAGGGTGAGTGAGGGCGGTGAGGGCCATAAGGGCCATGAGGGCGGTGAGGGGTATGAGGGCCATGAGTGCGTGAGGGGCGTGAGGGCGGTGAGTGGCGTGAGGGCCATGAGTGCGTGAGTGGTGTGAGGGGTGTGAGGGCCATGAGTGCGTGAGGGCAGTGAGTGGCATGAGAGGCGTGAGGGCCATGAGGGCGGTGAGTACATGAGGTGGTGTGAGGGCCATGAGTGCGTGAGGCCACCTTCAGATCGAGCATCTTTCTCAGCAATTTTGGTGGTAATGGCGGGTTGTTCTCTAGCTTTCCCTAGATCGACGCGAATTGCTGAGATCGGGTCCGGCTCGAAATAAGCAAGCAACTCTGAGCAATTCGAATGCGTTTGGAGCGGCTGCATCCAATCAGGGACGCAAAATTTTCACGTGATACCACGTGCCGGTGATGATGACACCGAAAGACTTGGTTCTGGTTTGAAATCGATCGTTTTTTTTGGAAATAAACTGTTTCAGAAAGGTGCATTAGTATTCTTAACGAGATTTAAATGCATAAAAACACGTTTATAACGCGTAATTGCATCTAAATAGTGCAAGAAAAATAACATTTTATGATGACGATGGCAAATTGCAGCAATTGGTTGCTGCGTGTGATCGCGGGCGGCCCGTGTTGCTGGTGTTGCGACGTAAAGTTAATGGGCGAAATTGCCCCATCTGAAGCTGGCCTGAGTGGCGTGAGGGCGGTGAGTGGCGTGAGGGGTATGTGTGAGAGCCGCAAGGGCGGTGAGGCGCCTGAGGGTGGTGAGGGGCGTGAGGGCGGTGAGTGGCGTGAGGACGGTGAGTGGCGTGAAGGCGGTGAGTGGCGTGAGGGCCGTGAGGGCTGTGAGGGCGGTGAGGGCACGAGGGCCGTGAGGGCCGTGAGGGCGGTGAGTGGCGTGAGGGCGGTGAGTGGCGTGACGGTGGTGAGTGAGTGAGGGGCGTGAGGGCCGTGAGGGCGGTGAGGGCGTGAGGGCCGTGAGGTTCAGTGAGGGTGAGTGAAGGGCTGAAGGTGAGTGTGAGTGTAGCTGTGAGGGTGAGGGTGAGTGAGGGGCTTAGGTGAGTGGGGCTGTGAGGGTGAGGGTGAGTGAGGGCGACCTAAAATGCCGACCTCTGCCCAGTAGATTGTCCCCATACGTAGTCGTGCTTTAGCTGCTGGTGGCTTGCATCACGACCACAAAATGAACCTGCGGTTCAACTTGGCTGGGAAAGAGGTCAAATAATAGTCCCCTGACACTGACCAACATGAGTAGCTACTTCACTTAGGCTACACTACCCTTTTTTCACCTAGCTGAGCTAATAATAAAAGATCAGTAAAATCACACTGTTCTTAATCAAAATGTTATCCTTGCGACACATCACAATGAAGGCATGCTAAATTACGTCACTAGAAGCACCGGGTTGGTGAGTATAAGGCATTTTCACTCAAAGAGCAAACTCCTTGGGTGTTTTCTTCACACCAGCAAACTTGTTTTACGAAGACAAAATGCAGCTGGCAATAAAGGGGAATAGATGTTATGTGAAAACGTCCCATTCTGTAGCCTGTGCCCAGTATATAACAGCCTGAGCACACAGCAGTGAAGGTGAACTCTGTGCTGCCCAGTACCAGATTGACATCATTGGCAATATTGTGGCAACACTCCTTGCTGCCTCGTATACTCTTGTTCTAATATAGTATATACTCTAGAGCAGGGTATACAATCGTGACATGGACCTTTGTTTTGGAGTTTCAGGTCCATTGATACAATTGATAATGGATCTGCCATCTAATAAAGGTATGAAATATAAAAATATATTCGGGATCTGCTGAGATATTTACAACCCAAAAGGAATATTTTATAAGAGTTGGTGTTATATCTGTGTAAATGGTAAAGGGAAGTACAATGAATGCAGACAGCAGGGCCTTTATAGGGTTGTACTTCAATAACTGCGCTTCCCTATTTCTAATGTTTATGTAGAACTCTTACAAGGTGCCCGAGATTGACCTTCAGTAGATGTGCATATCTGCACTGGGCCTAGACAAACCTGTGAAATGGCATGTGCACCTGTTGACAATATGAGCGTGAAGAGAGAGCTTTCTGCTGAGTTCTGAACCAACTCGGGTGCATATATGGTTAAAATTCAAAATCCAGGCTACAAACTTTTTTTTTGTGTGTAGCACACGGAAGCATAGTGGAGCTCTTCAATATTGAAAGCATGGCTTGAGCCCAGGCCACACGTTTATGTGCATATTGTCTGACAGTCTGCTCTCAACTTGCATCACTCCCAACAAGGAGGGTGCATCCCATAATCCTTTCAACTCTGCACTACTCCATGAAGTAAAACTCCCGTAAACATACAGTACTGAGACTGAGATCTTGTACAAAAGCCAGTTTATTGTATTCAGGGTACAGCTTCCAAACAGGAAACAGGCTTCTGCCACATGTTGGTAAATTTTCCCACACTAAAACAAGAATTTCAATGTTGTCTATTTTTTTCTCCCTCATTTCTACACACAAGAACGATGAAGAAATCAATTCCCACATTCTTGTCCTAGAATCAGAAACCTAACCCAAAGATTTCCCGAGTTCATGCTTCACAGTTTAGCCACAGGTGCAGTCAAACTGTCCTGGAGTAGGCTTTCAACTAGGTGTGTGGCATCCATAGCAGTACCCCACGAAGTGTTGACGCCATGTGCGCCGTGACCATAGTTGTGAACCACCTTTTTTTGGAAAAGAAAAGAAAAGACCAACATGAGGAACCATTTCATAGCGCCTTCTTCTCATGTGACCGAACAACACATTGTTAGACTTATTTTGCAGCAATAAATGAAGGGTTACATGCAGTAGAGCTTTAAGCTGACTCATGCACCCCCTGTTTCTTATATTTCATAGTTCCCAGATAAGCAGCTCTTTAAGAAGTTGTATGGAGCCTCCAAACTGGTTCTCTCTATCAGGAGATGCCTCTTATCAGAACAGGTAAACCCTCCTGAAAACCAACCAAATATGCTACTAGTATATGTCCAATCTCTTGTCCTAGAGTTATTAGGCTGCTCTTAACGAGGTTTTACAGCATACTTATACTAATAGTTTCTGCAAACATAATGTCTCAGAGATCAAATAGAAATACTGTGATACTTGTGCACAAGTTCAAACTGAAAAGTGGACCTCCTCGGAAGCCCTACTTTCAAACTCTTAGCCCTCCAACACTAAAATCAAATAACTTTTTTTTTTTCCACTAAGCGACATGCAGATGGGCTTTGAACAAGATGCTGCCCCTGGGCAGCTTGACGAGTCCAATATCCTCGGTTAGGTATGAGCTACAGCACCATGGTGTAAACAATCAAAAGCAAAAAAGAACTCGCCAAAATTGATTTAAAGCCCAGTAGCCCAAAAATGGACAAAAAAATAATTGTGCTTCTATGATTATATACACTGTGCAAATTTCACTGTATGTGCTAGTGTATAGATCAAAATGAACAAGGTAATAACTGTTTAATGGAGATGGTAATGAATAATGAGGCCCTCTTTTCCAGAGTTACGAAGTCTGGGTACTATCCAGTTTGCTCTGTCTTGTAGAGTAACTCAAATATTTTATTTGCATCTCAAAAATGATTAGCGCAAAAACAAGGACAAGTAGAAGACCGGACAGACCAGACAGGACAAGCGCTACTTTCTACTGACGTTTTATTGAAAAGATAAAGAAAGAAAAAAAAAGGTAAAAGAAAAAAACGCCAAAAAATTATGAAAGAAACAATTATGCAAACGTAGCTGGAGGTTTTATGAAATGTACTTCAGAATAATAATTCATAAAAAAATTAATGAAGACGAAAGAAAAAAAAAAATATATAAAAGAACGAAGAGGAAAATAATAAGTTAAAAAAGTATTCCAACGGAGTACTGATGCAAGATGTTGCGATGGTCTAACCTTCGTCCCTGCATTGGTAAGCAGCGGGGCGCATCCACAGTCCCTCACATGTACGACAAGATGTCCCAAGGGAGAGAATATTAGAGAGACAGAGCATGTTCCCTTAACTTAACCTTGACACAGCGTCCAGACAGGCCCACATAAACCTTGCCACATGAGAACGGGATTTCATAGATAACACATGCTGCAGCAACAGTTGACGTAGTTGTGTGCCTGTCTCGCGCCGCATTTGTAGTTTTTGTCATGCTGGGAATTTATTTGGGGTGAAGGCCTTCAAAGCTTGTCTGGTCCAGAAAGCCCCACCCCGACATATTCTGAGGCAATTGTCTTAAAGTTGTGGGAAATGCGATGGATGTGTGATATGACCGCCGGTTGGCATCGTTCATTTCCATTTCTCTCTGTTGTTCTGTTAGACTTCAAGGGAAACTGAAGCGGTTCTGTATTTGAGGAAACACACTTAAATCATCTTCATCTGACCTCCAAAATCTCGAATATCGAAATTCTTTTTTAAATTTGCTGCATGGAAGCTGCAGAAAATAAATTTCAAAGTACCGCTGAAGGCCCTTCTTCCCAGAGCATGACGTCGCAAAAGGAGTTTTCGGAATCTCCATTATCGCGCATCTTTAACGCCTATCAAAGATATGCACACACAATTTTCCCATATTTAAAAAGGGCAGAAAAAGACGTCACAACTGTTGCCAGTGCGGGGAAATATACCTGGCAAGCTTGCGATTCCTAGCGCGGCCCTCAAGCGATATGCGCTTGGCAGCCGAAAGATCTTCTATGACGTAATGACTGGTCGGAGGTTTTTCATGTTTCTTCGCGTTTAGTTACATTTTTGGGCAGGCACATAGCCAGGTGGAAGAGCTCCAGTGAAACCGCCCCCCCCCGCCCCCCGCCTCCCTCCCTCCCTCCCTCCCTCCCTCCCTCCCTCCCTCCCTCCCTCCCTCCCTCCCTCCCTCCCTCCCTCCCTCCCTCCCTCCCTCCTTCCCTCCCCCGAAATCTTCCATTCTGCTGGGGCCTCCTCTCCCCCTCCCCTCATACAGCATTTTGTCATGGGCACATTACTTTTTTTAGTTTTAGGGCATACAACTGGAAACAATTCCTCTTGACAAGTTTTGAGTGTGCAGAATCATATTGAAGTCGTTTCTTAGATCTGGGCAAATACACCCAGTATACATGGTTAATTTGAAAGGTCAGCCGAAGATCTAGAAAGAAATTGGTGGTTGCTGCCCGTAGGCGCCTCGGGTGTAAACTAAAGCTCCTGAGCGTGGTTTAAAACTTTGCATTTGATGGTGTTGATGAGGATGGAGTGACTTGCTTCTGGTGTTTCAGTTAATAGCACCAAGGTAGTTATCAACACATCTAAATACATTTCCTCCGTTTCCTTCTCTATCTTTACATTAAAACAGCAGTTCAAAGTAGCGCTTGTCCTAGCTGTCCAGTGGTGGGGATCGGTGGCCGAGTGTGGCACCGCAGCTTGGAGCATGTGTAGCGAAAGCTCGCACTGCAGAACCCAGGGACCCTGCGGTTCAATCCCCACACCTCCCTGTTTTGATCTGCATGAGAATCGTAGCGGCGTGTGGTCGTGTATCACTACTGCGTGATGCATGTTAAAGACCCCAGGCTAGCACTCATACTGCACAGGCTACATTTCTCGTCCATAGTGGCTAACAATGTTGCCACACTCTGGCAGACTAAACTTCCGCTATCTAAACCACTAACGACTAATTTTTGTCCCGTACAGTCTTCTACTTGTCCTTGTCTTTTGAGTTAACCATTTTTGAGATGTTTAACCAACTAGGCCATCAACTTCTATTGTTACTTTTATTTCCAATTGTGTCACATTACAGATATTATTTATATTTCTTTGTGTTTCTGATTTACTAATCTCTGTACAGGTTATGAGCTCTAATTAAGCGGGAACAGTAAAAGAAGTTTGAACTTGGTGTTCCATAGGGCAAGATGCATGTGTGCCATATATACAGGGTGTTTCAAAGAACGCCGGCCAAATCGCTCCTGCGAAAACTGCTCATCGCAACGAAAAAAGGCTTGTGGCGTTTTGGTCCTGGGCCAGGGGCCCACTTAGGAAAATTGTTAAGTCCAGGATAATAGAGATAGTGCAACCAGCCTCTGCTGCGTCGCGCGATGACAGCGCAGCAGAGGTTGGCTGCACTATCTCTCCAAGGGGCGCGGTGCTGCCGGGGCCGAGATGCGCTCCGATTGCAAAACGAAACTTAAAAACCCATCGAATTTGAGCAGTCTTTCAGAAGGCCGTAAAATGGTGCGCGTGCCTTCTATCGTTCTGCAATTTGTTGATTTAGTGTTTTTCGATGATGCCGAGCCATTTTCTAATTTAAACCATGCCCTTAAACACAATATTAAAAAAGTTAATTACACAGAAATAATTAACAACTTAAATATCCTGGACTTGAATAATTTTCCTAAATGGGCCCCTGGCCCAGGACCAAAACGCCACAAGACTTTTTTCGTTGCGATGAGTAGTTTTCACAGGAGCGATTTGGCCTGAGTTCTCTGAAACACTCTGTATATACCTGATGAAGAGCGGTCCCCGCTCGAAACGTCGCAATAAACTTCGTTAGTAACTCCGACAGTATGCATTTTTTACTTATTAACTTTTACCGGTCCATTGTTTTATACTTACCCTACTTCACACACACACATATATATATATATATATACATACATACAGGGTGTTTCAGAAAACGCAGGCCAAATCGCTCCTGCGAATACTAAGCATTGCACAGAAGAAAAAAAACAATGTTGATGCCGTTTTGGTGTCCGCCCAACAGCCCATTTAGAAAAAATAATGTTTAAAAAAATATTTTTTTTTTGTTTTTTAGAAAGGAACTTTTTATTTGTTCATTTGCACGCAATAGTTTCAATTAGAAACTTGCTGGGCATCATCAATAACCCCTCTATCAACCCTTTCTAGACAAGTATAAAGCGTGCCGATCATTTTACCATGTTTTGAAAAACCGTTAAATTCTGACGCATACTCTGGTTTCGGATTCTTATCCAAGCTTGGCGGCAGCTGTCGTGCCCTCCGAGGGCTGAAGCGCGGAACCAAGGCCAGCCCAAAAGTCAAAGCTCAATCTTGCAATGTCATGCTCTTTCGAACAGCGAGGCGTTCCTTATCACCTGGCCACGCGCGCGTGCTACACTTCTTTGTTTTTTACGAGGGAAGGGAGGCGGGCGGGCGGGCGTGCGAGACTAATCTGAAACCAGACTAAGCATCAGAATTGAAGGGGTTTTTCAAAACATGGTAAAATGCTCGGCATGCTTTATACTTGTCTAAAAAGGGTTGATATAGGGGTTATTGATGACGCCGGGTAAGTTTCTAATTCAAACTATGGCCTTAAAATGAACAAATAAAAAGTTTCTTTCTAAAATACAAAACAAAAGCTATTTTTTCCAAAAGTTATTATTTCTTCTAAATAGGCTCTTGGACAGACACCAATATGGCATCAACCTTTTTTCTGCGCAATGCTTAGTTTTTGCTGGAGCGATTTGGCCAGAGTTCTCTGAAACAGCCTGTAAATATATGCCTCTGCTACGGTGCGCGACGACAGCGCAGCAGAGGCTGGTTGCACTATTCCTCCACGGGGCACGGTGCTGTCGGTGCTGAGATGCGCTCCGATTGTAAACCGAAACTTAAAAACTTGTCGAATTTGAGCAGTTTTTCAGAAGGCCGTAAAATGGTGCGCGTGCCTTCTATCGTTCTGCAATTTGTTGATTTAGTGTTTTTCGATGATGCCGAGCAATTTTCTAATT